GTAGGTCATACGAGTTGAGACTTAGAAACTAAGAGGCAGAGGTGTTTTCGGGAACCTCAGCATGTGTGTCGAAATGTCTTGCGGTATGAGGACAGATGTTGGGGGTGGAGAGGAAGACTGTGAGCCAGTAACTGAGCTCCTTGAGAAGGGAAAGAGACCTCAGAGCTAGTAGGTACTTGAGTATTATATCTGGATAGGGTGAATAAACCTAAAAAGAGAATAGGTTGAGGAGTGATGTTAACAAGGGCAGGTTCCAGAAATGGCAGGGGGAAGCAAAGGACATGCCCATTTCCCCTCCATGACCAGTTTGTCTGGGAGTATGAGAATGGAGCTGGTATGAAAGGTGGCCAGTGGTGTTGGTTGGTCCTCTTAGGGGAGCTAGATCCCCTTCGATGCCAGAACATAGAAGGAGATCAAGAGGTCTAAATTAAGGAGAAGTTTTAAAAAGACAGAAGAGGGGTTTCAGAGGGCTTAGTGGAATTGATATGCAGAGCTGGATTGTAGCATGGAAAGAGTACATATGGTGGAGGTGAGTGTCACTAAAAGAATGGGAAATGGTGACAAGGGAGGGGAATCTTCATTTAGGCAACTGAAGCTGTGCCAAAGGCTATGGAAGAGTAAGAGGTGGGAGTCTGCAAACCATAGCGGGTACATAAATAGCATCTTTTGACCGTGTCTTATACCCTCAAGAATCTTGTTGATAGTATAAAGTACATCACACGTACCTCCTCCTCCCCTCTTTCCCCCTTTTTTCCCCAGTGTTAGTAAAGAATGGATGTTGTACAATTAAAGACTCTTCCTGTCACTTTCAGCCAAAGGTCCTGGCAGCAGGAGTTCAGTCATCCGACTCTTTAGCTCTGATCCGGGTTGTTAAGGTAAATGTCAGTTGTTGGAGGGGCTAATGCTTAGGGCTCTCTTCCCAAAAGTAAAGGATTGCCTATCTCAGGCACTGATACTAGGTTGAATCCTTCAGAGGAAAGGGATTGATGTCTGAAGCAGACTTTAGCTGAATGGAACAAATCTGTTGCCAAGACCTATAGATTTTACCTTGAAACAACTCTATAAAATACACCCCCTTGTCTCCTCTGACCCTGCCACCACTCTAGTACAGGCTCTCATCACCTTATGTTTGGTGTGCTGCAAAAGCCTGCTGGTAAATCTGCTGCTTCAAGTCTCTCCCTGTTCTATTCTGTCCTCCATTCTACCACCAAAGTAGTTTTTCTAAAGCGCCAGTCCTACTATGGCATCCCTCCCCCCTATATTCAGTAAACTCCAGTGATTTCCCCCATCACCTCCAGAATCAAATACTAAATCTGCTTAGTGTTCAAAGCCCTTCAAAACCTACCTTGCACCCTCACCTTTCCATTCTTCTTACACCTTAATAACAGACATGTACTCTTCAAACCAATGACACTGATCTCCTGGATGTTCCATGATCAAGACCCTCCATCTCTTGCCTCCAGTATTTTCTCTGACTTTCCCCATCCCTCGAATGCTTTCTTATCTCTGGCTCCTGGCTTCCCTGGTTTCCTTCAAGTCCCAGCTAACATCTCCCATTTTACAGAAAACTGTTACAGATCCCTCTTAATTCTAGTAACTTCTGTTAATTACTTTCCTATATATCCTGTACCAACCTTTTTTCTGCATATTTGTTTACCTGTGGTCTCCCACGTTAGATTGTGAGCTCCTCAATGGCAGGGTCTGTCTTTTGCCTTTTTTTGTATCACCAGGGCTTAGTATTGACTATGTTTGAAAGTTTAGGGCCAAGAAGGGATGTATGCAAGTTAATAAAAGAATCAATAGTACAAATGCATAAATGTGATGATTAGTTATTCTGTATCATCCAGATACTAATAAACTTTTATGTAAGTTATATATCAAGTTGGGCATAGAGGATTTTTGGAAAAGAAGGTTATCTACTTGATTCAAATATTAATTGCTCAACTTTTAGGCATATTACTTGGAGACTTTTTAAGATCCTAAAAGATTTATCTCAGTTGCCCTGGAAAGATATGGGTACGATTTGATACTAAAAGATGAGCTTCCAGCACCCTTCATGATGTTAAATTTTTTTTAAGAGTTTAAAATGATCTTTTCTTTTTGGCACTCCTATTACTTCTTAGGTACTTCTCCTCCTACCCTAACTTTCTTCTGTAACAGATAAGTATAGTTAGGCAAAACAAATCAATACCATGGCCATGTCTTGATAATGCATGCATCAATCTACAGACATCAGTTTACTGCCTCTCTGCAAAGAGATGGGGAGGCATGCCTCAAGTCAAAGTTTTCTGAAATCATGACTGGTTACTTCCCCTTGGTCAAAATTCTGAATTTTTTTCCCCCTCCACGTTATTGTGATTATGGCATAAATTTTTGTTATTTCTTAGTTTGCATGCGAGATTTAGTAAATTTGGACAAATTGTTAACTTTCTAGAATATAAACTATTTGATAGCAAGCATTGTGTGACTCCCTTATACAAGTGAATATCTAGTGTTCAGTACCATAGTACCTTATATTTGCCTAATTAATGGTAATTAAAATATTTATTTCACCATTTTTTATCTAAAACATGGGACTATAAAAGGAAAAAAAATAGATGAATAACTGAGAAATGGAAAATCTGTATTTTAGAGTGTTTTGTTCAGCTTTAGTTGGCATGATTGGATTATACTAAGAGGGCAGAAATTTTCCTCTTTGAAGCAACACAGCTTCCCTCTTTCCTACCTTTCTAATTTTGTACCTTTCCTGGGGGAGTGAACTGAGATGAGGTATTACATTGTTGTCAGTAATTAAGGCCCAGCAACTTGACTTTCCTCCCTTGAATCTTCTTTTCCTCTTAAACGTTAGTTCTTGGAAACTTAAAGTGATTGTGCAGTGAATAATATGTTATAGTCAAAGAATTTTGAATACCGTGTTTGAATCCACTTGGAAAGATTGTGTGCTAATACAATTCTCAATACCTGGGTTAATGAGGAATTATTTTCTGAGTGAAGGCACAACCATCTGTGAAATGATGTTATAGCTGAGCTTGAGTGTTGAGGAAGCTAATTTGCACAAGGATGTGTGATTTGAATGTAAGGACATTGACTTTTCCCCCATTAATGATTCCAAAATTGAGTCAAACAATTTAAAATAATAGAATATGAATTTTAAATAACTTTTGGTTTCTGTATAGACAGAGGTCTTGGCACCCCCCCCCCCGCCCCGCCACGTGCAGTTATAAATATTAATGGTGAAAATGATAAATTCCAGGTTAAATGGGAAAAGACAGTTGTTGGACTGTGTTTATTATTTATTTTACAACTCTTGGTAAAATTTTACTCTTTATAGAATAACATTAAGATCAACAACAACTAGTGAAAAGCAATAATTATAATTTTTTACATGTTTTCCACTTAGCTTGTCACTGCCTCCCCCTACCCCCCAATACTAATACTTCAGAAAGCCTTTCGTATTTGTACAAGTGTACCATTGCAGGATCTTTAATTTTAAGGAAAGGAGGGAAGAGGAAGGGAACAAGCATTAATTAAGTGCCTGCTATGTACTTGTACTAAGTACTAAGGGCTTTTCAAATATTATCTCATTTGATCCTCACAGCTTAGGAAGTAGGTGCCATTATATGCACAATTTTAAGGTTGAGGCAGACCTAGGCTAGTTAAGTGACTTTCCTTTCTCAGGGTCACACAGCTACTGTCTGAGACTGAATTTGAACTTAGGGTCTTTCCACTGTACCACCTGACAGCCTCTATATTTTAAGCTATAAAAATGATTTATAAAAAAAGGAAACCTCTTTAAAAAAAAAGATTTCATTAAAATTAGATTAAAATTTTGTCTGTCACTAATATTATCTTTTTTCCACTTTTGTACCAAACTGGCTTCTAGTATCTTGTGACTGCTGATAGATTGGTCAAGATATTGGCTGAGAAGGGGCTCGTTAAAGAATCTGTATATAAAACAATCGTTGATTTAAAAAAAGATAGAATAAAGCTGTTTGGACCAACCTATTTTTAAAGTGTGGTGTACTAAAAATATAATCATCACATGATTAATCCCAAGTTCACTGATTATCTGCCATTGGACAGTTCTCCAGGGCATTTTACTGAGCTGTTTCATTAAGGAAGTTTTTTATCTGAAACACACCCCATGTGACATGGACAGCTCACCTCAGGCTGTTTATATACACTGGTACATTAACTATCAAAGTAGCTGATTCAGTCAGCTTAACAACTAGCTAATTTCCATATGAATTTTTACTAAGTTGATTATTTAAATTTGTAGGATTGTAGATTTAGATCTAGTAGGAATCTTTAGAGGTATGGTAGTCTAGTTTACCCATTTTACAGATAAGGGAACCATAATCCACTGAAGTTAAAGTGAACTGCCCACATTTAATGCCAGGGCAGAGCCTGCATTCAAACCATGACAGTCCCAGTGATTGGATTTGATTATATCTTTCTGGGTGCACAATGTATAAATATTTTGCATATATTAACTTGTATCTAGTCATTGACTATGATCCTTACTAATTTAGCTAGGCTACTGAGAATCTGAGCTCAGGATCTAAGAAGATAGGATAAGTTTGGATGGAACCTGAATTTCTCTTTATTTCTCTGCTAAGTACTCTAAAATCACTAGTGAGCTTGCATCTAAATTTAGTAGTATTTCATCCTTAACTTCCTTGGTATGTTTAACCTTTTCAACTAATTAAACACACTCATTTAGTACTTTAAGGGGCGCGCCCCCCCCCCATGAGTTAGGAAGTGGAAATATTGCTTTCCCCTAGCTTTGACAGCTAGGAAATGGTTAAATGTCTTATGTAGGCCAAACAGCCCAGTAAGTGGCAGAGTTGGGATGTAAATGCAGCTTTTCTTACTCATACTCTTGCCCATGGCAGCCCTATCAGCAAGGTGATAGCTATCCCCAGAGGCTATTTGTTACTTCAAGTTTCAGCTGGAAAATATTTAGTTTTATTGTTTTTTCTTTTCCCTATTCTCTTCAGATAAGAATTTTGATGATGAAGACTCTGTGGATGGGAACAGGCCTCCTTCAGCCAGCTCTTCTACATCTTCAAAGGCCCCCCCAAGCTCACGAAGAAACATTGCAATGGGAACCACTCGCCGCATTGGACCGGTTGCCGTAGGATCTAAGTCTTCTGGTATGAGTATAGTCTCCCATGTTTGGGTAAAGTGGTGAAAACTGTTGTTAATGATTGATAACTCCTTCTATCCATCAGAAGTTCTATTGTTCATCTGAAATAAATTTCGGCTTGTGTTTAATTAATTAAATTTGGGGAGGGGACACTTTAAGTTTATGATTGCTTTGGACTATATACTCTCCTCATATTTATGACCAGATTTTATTTATTGTTCTTAAATATAGCTATAGGTTAAAAGGTAGCCATCTGTTTGTAGCCAAAAGGTGCCTTTTATACTTCTTTTTGTTCAGTTGTTTCAGTCATATCCAACTCTGCATGACGCCATTTGAGGTTTTCTTGACAAAGATACTGGAGTGTTTTGCCATTTCTTTCTCCAGTTCATTTTACAGATGAGAAAACCAAGGCAAATGAGGTTAAGTAATATGCCCAGGATCACATGGCTAGTAAGTTTCTGAGGCCAGATTTGAATTCAAGGAGAGGAGTCTTTCTGACTCCAGACTGGAACTCTGTCCACTGTGCCACCTAGCCATCCCTGCACCCTGACTCCCATATATGCTACTTTTTTCAGTTTGATAGCCAGAAATAAGATAAGGCCTTCCCTCCCAGTTTTGGGAGACTTAGTTTTAAACTTTTTTAGTCCTTTCCCCTTCTGGAAAAATTTTTGAATATACAGGCTGTGGTTCCAAGAGCATCTAACTTTATTTACATGTTTTCCAGCCAACTATTCTTACACCCAGCTTTCTTCTGTCTCTTCCTGTTCAGGCTTTTAAAACTGCTATTATTAAAAAGCTGTCCTTGAACTTCATTGGTTTGGAGACTAGAGAGCTCATAAAGCCAGCAGTCGGCTGACTTAATCTGTCTTTAAGGCAGGTCTGGGATTATACTCTTTGTTCTCTCAGGAGGATTTAAAGAAGTCTGAACTAGACCCCATACTCTCACTATTCCCTTCTTGCTACAGAAGTAGCAGAAAAGAAAAGTGTTAGAGAGATGAATTTAATAGTAATTCATAGTTGGAATTTGAGCCCAAGTGCTCTGACACCGCATCAGTTATCTTTCCACAACACTCCTTTCAACAACTTTACCATTGACCTGCCAGTACTGAGGTGAAACATGGAGGGTTGTGATGTGCAAAGGTGGGTAGAGTGCCTGCCTACAACTGATAAAGTCATGAGATCTTTTAAAATTTGAAAGTAAATAAAATGATTAAATGATGAACTGAACAAATTGTGACATATTTGACTTGGAATACTATTGTGCTGTAAGAAATGATAAAAGAGATCATTTCAGAGAAACCTGGAAAGACTTATATGAACTGATGAAGAGTGAGATGAGCAGAAGGAGACCAACTTATTGCAAGGGGGCAAACTATCCTGCCCACTACACCAAATGTGAGGAGGCTGATCTGTTCAGCCCTAATTGTGCTAATTGTGGGGTGGCCTGAGATACAATAGAAGAAGGAGTTTATACCAGCTTGGATATTAATATGTTTTATTAGTATTAATTTGATTAATTGGAGGAATATACTCATAAGAGGCCAGTCATCCTGGGCAGCAGCAGGACAAAATAACATTGTGGATCCCAGCACCAACCCTAGGCCAGGTCAGGTATTTTATAGAAACAGATCATAGAAAGGATAGTACCAGGTATGGCTCCGGGTCACATGCAAGTGTTCCAGTGGGTTAGTTGGAGCTGCTTTTGCTGTTTACATTTACTCAAAGTAGTTTACATTCTCTGTGAGAGTAATAAGTCATGTTCTCATTCTGACCTATCCCTGTACACTTACCATGTCAATATTGTAAAAAATAAAAAAGTTTTTGGAAGACTTAAGAAATTTGATGCAATATAGTTATCAGCCATGATTGAAAGGACTGATGATGAAGAATGCTACTCACCTCCTAAGAGAGAGGTTGATGGACTAAATATGCTCAATGAGACATGCATTTTAGAAATGGTCAGCATGGGAAATTTATTTAATTTTTTGCTTGACTTTTCATATTAGTTACAGTGGGGTTGTTTTTATTTTTTTTTCTCCTGGTAGACTGGGAAGGAGGAAAAAATTCATTGAAAAGCTTGATAATTTTTAAAAAATGAATAATTTTTTAAAAGACAAGTAAATATAATGCTTACTATGTGTAAAAACCTGTGTTAGGCCCTTTGATAAAATGTAAAACCATGTCTTTGTTTTTTCCTTCTCTGCTGTGTCTCTTTTACGTCTTTTATTGACTCACTGATTGGAGGCTCTTCAGTCCAACCCATTCATTTTACAGATGGAGAAACTGAGGCACAGAGAGGTTAAGTGACTTACCCATGTTCTTAATACCTTTTTCAGAGCAACCTGGGCAATACTTTATGCTTGCTAGGGTTTTATAAATACCCAGAAATCTAGGCTTCACTTTATAGCCACTGCTACGATGTTTTCTGTGGTTTAACTTTACTGATAGTTACAGATTCAACCTGAATTCTGCAAAAAGCTTCAGATTTTGACCTCATTTACTGTATTTTATTTTTGCGAGGCAATTGGGGTTAAGTGACTTGCCCAGGGGCACACAACTAGTAAGTGTCAGGTGTCTGAGGCTAGATTTGAACTTTGGTCCACCTGACTTTAGGGCCAGTGCTCTATCCTCTGTGCCACCTAGCTGCCTCCACCCTCCTTTTTAGTAGAGAAAAAGGAATAAACAAAAACAATCTATCTAATGTCCCTGACTTACAATGTATGCAACATTTGGCCTCCATATCCCCTGCCCGTCTCTTGAGAGGTGAAAGGTATGATTCATTATCTTTTCTCTGGGGCCAAAATTTAGCCAGTTGCTTTAGCAGAAATCAGCTTAGCATTGTTTTCCTGCCAACCTTCCTTTAACCCTAATTGATTCTCAGTAGCCAGTTAATACCTTCTGGCAAAGGAAGCCCACTGCTGAAAAAAAATTAACAAGGTACTAGCTGTGAGTATATTTAGCATTGAAGAATACACCAATTATAGCACGTTGTTAACTTTAAAAGGCTTAGACTGTGACTTTTTTATTGTTCTAGTCATACTGGAAAATGTGAAATGCTACTGATCCACTGGTGTTTTTGTGACATAGTAGTAGCTTTGGAAACAAGAGTCCTTTGGTAATACATTGAAAGATCATCTGAATTCTTTTCCATCTCCACCACAATTCTACCTCCATTCTTATGCTCCTAATACTGCAACTTTCATTATTCTTTCCATTCTCTTTTTTTGAGATTCAGCTGGGGCAGGATTGTTTATTTGCCTTTGTATTATAACCTGTTAGTTCAACTTTAATTGTAAGTAGTATAGGTAAGATTAGAAGTATAGTATGCTGAAAAGAACACTGGTAGTCAAGACATTTAGATTTGAATGTTGCTTCTTCTACTAACTAGTTGTGTGAATTTTGCAAATCGTTTAACTTCTATAAATCTTAGTCTTGAAAGCTACAAAATAAAAATTTTGGATTAGACTAACCCTGACATTCTGTGCCCTTTAATGACTTGCAAAAACTGTACTTAAGGATGAATTAAAATTTGGAAGCATTTCTCTTGATTGTAAAGTATAAGGAAGCCTATATTTCAAAAAGAAATAATTTGTCCCCAGAGGAAGGCATCTGATATGCAGCCAAACAAAAAGAACTCCTAGAAGGATTAATGCAGACTCTCTGCTTTACCTGGGGTATGCTCATCTGGGGCTCTTTTCTGTAAATGAAAATTTGAGGCAGTTCTCAAGAATTCTTGGGAAAACGAAATTTTTAAGATCATTAGGAATTAAACATCTCTGTCATAATTTAAAACTTGAAAGAAGACTGATGTGATTCTTTAGCATTCCTTTTCAGGTTTTATTGGCTGAATTTTTTTGACCTAAGATACTAGAACAATGACATAGTCTGATATGTGTGCTGAAATGATCCTTTGTATTTAGTCAAGGTGCTTGTCATAGTGTTTGCATGTTAATATTATTATAGATGAATTGAGGCTATTGAACACAAAACTTTCACAGCTGAAGAAATATTCTTTTTTAGGCAGCAGCACATCATTGTCTAGTTATGTTGTAACAACCTTATTATGTTGGATTGTTTCTTAATGTCAAAGGACAACATTGTGTGTTATGTCTTTGACTCATTATGTCTACATTTTATAAGTCTGAACTTGTATTACAGTCATGTCTTTCTTAATGTGGTTTTGGATGTTTAAATCCTGACTTTTATGAACACTGGCTTGTTTTTTAGTTGTTATAATAATTTTTCTCTCTGTCAGCTGCAAAAGAAGGAGCTGGTGCTGTTGATGAAGAGGACTTTATTAAAGCATTTGATGATGTACCAGTAGTACAGGTGAGTAGTGGTGCATTATAAAAGTACATTTCTTCTTAGAACTCAAATTTCTTCCTTTCTTTTTTTGTTTTGTTTTGGACAGTCTTAAAAAAAATTTATTTTGGAATCTTCTTTTCAAACAAACCATACCCTTTATAGAATCAAATCATGACTATTAAGAATATTGCATGAACAGGAAAAAATGTAGGTATGTCACCCCCCCCCCCCGAAGATCTTGTGATTCAAAATTAGAACAAGATAGAAAAGTGAAAGTGGGGCTTTCTCAGAGCAGTAAGATGTGAAGAAGGGAGTGCTTCTATACCAGAAGCAAGGATTTTTGGAAATACATAGTACAAGAAGAGAAACCATATAGGGAGAAATTTTAAATAAGAGCCTAATTTTTCAATAGGATTTGAGGAAAGAAGATTTTTAAACTTCAGGAAATATGTTAGTGTGTGTGCACACAAACTTATGTACCTGTATTTTGAAGGATGTTGCAAATTAACTTGAAGTATTCTGAAAAGTTTTGGATTCCTGTTTAATAAACAGGCCGAAGTTTAATTAGTAATTAATGGATAATTAAATTGTTAAAATAAATTAAATTTTAATTAATTTTAAATAAATTTAATTAAGAATAAATTATTAATTAATAATTAGATAATTAATGATAATTAAGCTTAATCTGTTTTATATCATGCATTATAGTGAAGTCTAGTGGAAAGATTTTGGGACTAAAATTCAGGAGACTGAAATTTCTTTCATTCTTTTGACTTTGTTTTATTGTTTCTTGATGTCTCAGGGGAGTTGTTAGCTTTCACTTGCCCAGTTCTAATTTTTAAGGAATTATTTTCTTCAATGAGATTTTGTACCTCCTTTTCCATTTATCCTATTCTACTTTTTAAGGAGTTCTCTTCTTCAGTGAATTTTTGTGCCTCTTTTACCATGAAGACAATTCTGTTTTTTAAGATGTTATTTTCTTCAGTATTTTTTGTGCCTCCTTTACCAAGCTGTCTATTCTCTTTTCATAACTTTACACCACTCATTTCTTTTCCCAGTTTTTCCTCTACCAGTTTCATCTGTTTCTTCCAGGAGTTCTTGTTAGTCTTGGGTGTGTTTAGCATTTTCTTTGGGGTGTTGTTTATAGTTGTTTTCACATTGTCTTCTTCTTCTGAATTTATGTCTTGGTCTTTCCTGCCATCATAGTAGCTTTTTATGGTCAGGTTCTTTTTTTGTTGTTTGTTCATTTTGCTAACCTATTTGTTGACTTTGAACCTTATGTTAAAGTTGAACTCTTCTCACCTGGGGGTGGGGAGGCATTGTCCCAAGCTTTAGGCTTTTTCATGCTGTTGTTTTCAGAGCTAGGTCTGGGGGAGAGGGGGGTCTACAAGTTTTTGTTGCTTCCAAGGTTGTGTGATTAGAGAAGAGGTGTGAGTTGCTGGTCTGTGGTTCTGGTTTTTACCCAGGAAGGGTCGCTAGACCCCTACAGCCATAAGTGCTAGTGTACCTCTTTACCTTGCAACTGAGACCAGGACTTTTGCTTCCTTGTGAGGCAACTACCAGCATTCACCTCCACCTTGGAACTAGGACCCAGAACTGCATATGGGCAGTAAAATTACCAGTCAGTACCAGCCATGCTCAATGCCAGCAAAAGGTTCCCTGTAATCTCCTTCTGACCAGTTGTCCAACTGCCCTGGGGGGGGAGCACCTGGCAGCTGCTGCTTTATAGAAGGGCCAGCTCCACACAAGCCTACACCCCACCTCCTAATATCACTTCTCAAAAATCCTTCCATATTTCCTTATTGCTTACTAAATTCATATTACTTAGCTTGGCATCAAAGATGCTAACTCACCATCATCTGGCACCATTCTGCCTTTCTGAGATCATTTCATGCATGTTGCTTCCCTCCATGGAATCTGTCCTTCAGTCAAAGTAGACTATTTTCACTTTCCTGTACATGCCAGGGCTCACACAAGTCCATGACATTGCTCATACTACTCACAATAGCTAGAATACTCCTTGTGCTCTTCTTTGCCTGTTGAGTTCCTGTCTATCCTTGAAATTCCCTCTTAAATGCCACTTGCTCCATGAAGCCTTTCATGGTCATCCCCAGTCCAACTGCTTATGTAACTATTAGCCTTTTCTCTCTCCAGGCTTCAGGGTAACGCTTTGCATCTTTCTTAAACACTTATCCTTTATCTTTTTTTGTTATTTGTGCATGTATTATACCTGTCTAGTAGATTATCAACTACCTGAATGCCTTATATAAACTTGGTTTCTTCCCCAGAATTAAGAGTTTAATAAATATTTATTGAATAAAGCTAAGTTTAAATTCCAGATCTTCCACTAGCTAGTTGTGTGGCTTTGACTGTGAGTTACTTTCCCCATCAGTTGAATGAAGATATACCTCTTCTGTCTACTTCTCCCACAAATAAGCTGTCATCCTCCAAACTTCTATACTGTCTATTGCCTATGTTCCTCATTTGCAGTTTATGCTGCCTTGTTTCATTAAATATTTTTCCATTTGTAAACCCTTTTTTCCTCAAGTGGGTTGTGAACTCCTTAAGGGCAGGTACTTTGTCTTATAAGTCCTTAGTCCACCTATACTAGTTGATTGACCATGTAGTGTTATTATGAAAATAAAATGAAATTGAGACAGGAAAGTATCTTTGAAAAGTTGAGACATAAGTTAATATTGTTTATTTATAATAACAGCACCTTTTGTTTCATGAGTTGCCTTGGCCAAAGAGTTCATCAATAAGTTTCCATCTGGCTCATGCTGAACTTCGCTTCTAAATAACTAATCGATAAGCTGGGCCCAGAATTCGATAGCAAGAAGAGAGTGAGTTGGATTGCTTTTGAGAAACTGCAGGATTTTTTAATGGTCCTTGGCTTCTCCCTGAAATATAAAGATCCATCTTTCAAACCCCAACATTTTTTCTTATCAAATAGCGTGATTTTGTTTTTCTTTTTTACCTATTTACCTTTTTATGCTTCTCTTGAGTCTTGTATTTAAAGACCAAATTTTTTCTTTGGCTCTGGTTTTTTCATCAGGAAAGTTTGAAAAAAGTGTGCTTAAATATCCATTTTTTTCCCTTGAAAGATTATGTCCAATTTTGCTGGGTAGTTGATTCTTGGTTGTAATCCAAGCACCTGTGCCTTTTAGAATTTCATATTCCAAGCCCTGTGATCCGTTAATGTAGTAGCTGCCAAGTAATCCTGACTGTGTAATCCTGACTATGGCTCCTTGATATTTGAATTGTTTCTTTCTGGCTGCTTATAGTATTTTCTTCTTGACCTAATAGTTCTGAAATTTGGCTATAATATTTCTTGAAGTTTTTATTTTGGGATCTTTTTCAGGAGGTGATCAGTGGATTCTTTTAATTACTATTTTAACCTCTCTTTCTAGGATATTAGAGCAGTTTTTCTTGATAATTTTTTGAACAATGCTGTCTTGGCTCTTTTTTTGATCATGGCTTTCAGGTGGTCCAATAATTATTAAATTATCTCTCCTAGATCTATTTTCCAGTTCAGTTGTTTTTCCAGTGAGGAATTTTACATTTTCTTCTATTTTTTCTCTTTTGATTTTGTTTGGCTGATTCTTGATGTCTCATATTTATTCATTACCTTCCACTTGCCCAATTCTGAGTTTTAAGGAATTATTTCCTTCAGTTAGCTTTTGCATCTCCTTTTCCATTTGGCCAATTCTACTTTTTAAGGAGTTGTTTTCTTCAGTCAGTTTTTATGCTTCCTTTTTTCAAGCTGTTGACTCATGATTCTCATGTATAACACTAATTTCTTTTCCCAGTTTTTCTTCTACCTCTCTTACTTGATTTTTGAAATCCTTTTTAAACTTTCCAAGTGGACTTTTTTGGGCTTGAGACCAAATCAAAGCTCTTTGAGGTTTTACATGTAGGCATTTTGACATTGTTGTTCTATTCTGAGTTTGTGTTTTGATCTTTCTTCTCTGTAGTCGTAGTACCTTTCTGTGGTTAGTGCTCTTTTGTTTTTTGCTAATTTTCCTGCCTATTTTGTGACTTTTAAAGTTGAGCTCTTCTCCTAGGGCACGGGAGGCACTGTCCCTAAGCTTCTTGTGCTGGGGCCTGATCACTGACTTTCTGCAGTAGGGCCTTTGGGGCTGGCAACTTGCCCACTGTGCTGTGGTGGGCCGGCCTAGTTGCGTTTATTGTGCTGGGGAATCCAGAGCTAGCAGTGTGCCTACTGCGCTTGCGCTGTAGGCCTGACAACTGGCCTGCTGAACTGGGGCTTGGTTGTTGATCTGTGCTGTGGCCAAGAACCTTTGGCTGGTTTGCCTGGATACCCACTGTGGTGGGCTGTACTTCCTTTTTACCCAAGTGCTACAGACCTTTCCTGAAGTCCTTCTAAGTTATCTTGGCTTGGAAGATTGTTTCACTATGTCTTTTTGTAGGGTCTGTCTCTCCAGAATACATTTAGAGACTTGATTTAACATTGTTTCAAGGGAAATTGGGGAGAACTCAGGCAGCTTCCTGGCTTTTCTCTGTCATCTTCCCCAGTGTTTTTCTTAGTGATGTATGGTTTTGAAGAATGAAATAGTACAGTTTCCAAAGACTTGAATTTCAACATCACCACAGTCTTTTAATAGAAAAGTGTCTGGTGGACATAAGTGTGCAGTACCACATTTCAAACAAGGAATCCTGCAGGATAAGTGGGGTAAAGTATATTATTGAAGAAATATATGATAAGAAAAGCTGGGGCTGATAATGTGGCAGGATTGAGGATTAGCCAATAGATCCGTTGTTCTTCATTGTATCTTCACAATGTCAAAAGAATTCCAGGGAGGCACAAGTATGTTGGCTGGAGACTTGTGGTGAGCTTAGGGGAAAACTTGGCTAAGAGCCTCATGGGCAATCATACATGGTTTGTTATCTGCATTATTGAAGAGAATATCCACACTTATGGGATCACAGATCCATAGAATGTTGGAGTAAACAAAAACTTCAACTCCTTATCACAAGCACCATGGAACATTTTCGACCAGAGTTCTTTTTTCTGCTTATACAACCAGGAATTTGTTAAATTTTCAGTAGAGCTGTCCAGCAAGGATTATGACAAGGTCATAAAACTTATCAAGCATATATATATGGTCTCTTTTGCGCATGGACTTTTTTTGTAATGATAATTTTTTGTCATTCATGCCTATTGGCATATTCTCCATTTGATACAATTGAAAAATAAGCTTTGTCTAGTTATGTGAATTATCTTATAGATTGATTATACTTTTTTTATTTACAGATTTATTCTAGTCGAGATCTTGAAGAATCCATAAATAAAATTAGAGAAATCCTATCTGATGACAAACATGACTGGGAACAGAGAGTAACAGCTGTAAGCTTTTAACTTTGATATAATTGCTTTTTAATCATAGTCATTCATTAAACTTTGCCATTATTAAAAACAAGCAGTAACTAATGAAAGTTCATAGCATTTTAACTATAAATTACTGTTAAACTAGGAATGATGTTTCTGTTGTGTATATATTAATATTTCTTCTCTCTTATACCTACCCACCCACATATAATTATACATACTACATTATAATGTTCAGTGAGTTTTTAAAGATTACTAGTTCTTTTTCATATCTGTTTTTTGGTATCATCTTTTTTCTATAACTTTAATGCAAATCAAGACTTTTAATGTACATTCCCCAATTTCATTTTTTTTTTTCAGTCAGTGAGCTAATAAATTTTTAGTAAGTACTTATTATGTGCCGGATGCTGTACTTAGTGCTAGGCATCCAAAGAAAGGCCCCTACGCTCAAGAAGCACACAGTCTAATGGATAAGACAACATGTAAATATGTTTACTCATAAACATAAGTAGAGATATTTACTCATATGTGATGGAAGTGTGAAAGTGCAAAGCATTAGCAGCTTGGCTGGGCAAGGGGGAGACCTCCTCCAGAGAGTTATATTTAAACAATATCTTGAAGGAATCTTGGGAAACTCAGAGTTGGAGGTGAGAGGCAGAATATTCCAGGCGTGGGTGGCATCCAGGATAAAGACAGGAGGGGCAGTTAGGTGGTGCAGTGGATAGAGCACCGGCCCTGGATTTAGGAAGATCTGAGTTCAAATGCGGGCCTCAGACACATAACACTTACTAGCTGTGTGAGCCTGGGCAAGTCACTTAACCCCATTGCCTAACAACAACAACAACAAAAAGATAGTGACAGGAGATGGAAGGTCATGTCAAGGAACTCCAAGTAGGCCAATGTAGCTGAATTTTAGCGTATATGGAAGGGAATAAGATATAGGAAGGCTGGAAAGGTAGGAAGGGTTCTTGTTATGAAAAGCGTTATATGCCAGCGTTTATATTTGATCCTTTGGATCATAGGGAGACACTGGAGCTCCTTAAATATGGGGAATTGATATGTTCAGATATATGCTTTAGAAAAATCCTTCTGCAATGCCAGGGATCCCCCTATCACACTTTGAGTACCACAGATTTGGAGCAATATCAAAATAAAATGAGGTGTTTCTAGCAGTACTGAATTCCCTGGGCAAAGGGTGTAATGGCCACTCATTGAGTATGCTGGAGATGGAGTTATTTTTTCAGTTAGACTACAGGGCCACTGAGGCAGCATCAAACCCTAAAACTCTGTGATTCCCTTATTCTAGAAATTCCACTTCTCATTTCTAGTTCTGCCTTCTGAAGCCAAGCAGAACAGGTATAATTCATATTATATAGAACAGTTCTTCAGATATTTGAAAACAGGTATCTCCCTCCTAAGTCTTCTGTTTTCTAAGTTAAAAAGCTTCAGGTCCTTTGGTCCTCACTGAACAAGAAGTAGGAACCAGTCTGTTAGTGGATAAATTATACAGTTTATGGTTGTGAAGGCCCTCACCAGCCTGGTGACCAGTGGTGCACTGGAACTAGCTCAGAACCATTTTGCAAGAGCTGATTGTTAAATTTTAATGAACATTCACAGTTTAGAAATCTGCAAGCACTACAAATCAAGGCTTGATTTATTGTTTCATTGATTTTCTAGACTTAAGAATGGGATGGAGAAAATGTTAATAATGCAGATTAAACTTCTGTATGTTTTTTTTGAAGAGCCAATTGTTCAGCATTTGCCAGCATACTCCTGGTGATTGCTCTCCTCTAGGTGATCTCCAGCTGGTCAACATCATTCTCCCCCCACACCCCAAATCCATTATTTATTTATTTTAACATTCTTTTCTTTTGAGTTCCAAATTCTCTCCCACCTGTTGTGAAAGCAAGAACTGTCATATCAATTGAACATGTGAAATCATGCAAAACATATCTCCATATTGGGAAACATATCTCCATGTTGGGGGGAAAACAAGAAAAATAAAGTGAAAAAATTATGCTTTAAAAAAAATTAAAATTCCCTCTGGCAGTTGAGTGAAGAATGAATTGGGGTAGGATAAATTTTGAGACAAGGAGACCAGTTAGAAGGCCAGTGTAGTAGTTCAGGTGAGAGATGATGGGAATCTGGCCGTATGAGTGGAGAGAAGTTGATGGGGATATATGCAAGGGTATTGTGAAAACAGAAACAACATCATTTGGCAACTACTGAGATGTATGGGGTGAGTAAGATGGAGGAATCTGGGATGACACTGCAATTGCCCTCAGCAATAATAAGGAAGTTTGGAAGAAGAGTGGATATTTTGGGGGGAGTGGAGTTAAAGAATTCTATCTTGGACATGTTGAATTTGGGTTGCCTTCAAGACATCTAGTTGAGAGTGAGACTAGAGCTGGAGATTTATACATATACACATGTGTATACAGTATGTATATACGTGTATGTAAGAAAGTATTATATATTATACATAAACACATACATACATACATATATGTATATATGTATGTATATACCTATATGTAAGAAAGCATTATGTATTAGAAATACATGCATGCACATATACAGTATGTATACATATATTTAAGAAAGTATTGTACATTATACATAAATACATGCATGCACATATATATGTATACACGTATATGTAAGAAAGTATTATGTATTATACATGCATACATATATACAAACATGTACATGTGTAGAGACACACACATCCTAGATATATATTCTCGACATTGCTATCGAGAGATCTAGATATTAATGTATGTTCAATATATTTAGCATATATAAAATATTTATGATATGTGTATACTATATAGTTGAGGCAGCTAGGTGGCACAGTGAAAGGCATGCCGGATCTGGAATCAGGCAGACTTGAGTTCATATCCAGCCTCACACAAATCAGTCACACTTTTGAGGTGTGAGACTCTGGGAAAATCACTTAACTTCTATTTGCCTCAGTTTCTTCATCTGTAAAATGATGATAATAATAGCACCTATCCCCCAGAGTTGTGAGGATCAAACAAGATAATACTCATGAAAGTGCTTAGCGCAGTGCCTGGCACATAGTAGGTGCTACATAATGTTAGCTATCCTTATTATTTAGGTATAGGAATTAACAGAGAGATATAGATCTCTATCTCCGTAACTATATTTATGTGGGCATTATTGGCATAGGTGTTGATTAAACCTCATGATAGCTGATGAGATCAATCAGATAAGACAGTATAGCATGACTAGAGAGGAGGACCTACGGATAGGGCTTAGAGGTCCCATGGTTAGGTAAAGAACCAGGAAAGGAGACTGAGAAGGAAGAGTCAAACAAAGAAAAGGAGAATGAACAGAAGGGGGAAGAGCAGGGCCATGACAACTTAGAGAAGAGAGAGGATCCTGAAGGAGAAAATGAATGACAGTGTCAGGGGCTGCAGAAAGGTCAGTGAGGATCAAGGTTATGAAAAGACTGTTAGATTTGTCCATGAAAAGGACAGCTCTACTTGAATGACGAGGTAGAAGTTAGATTGCTGAGGGTTTTAGAAGAAAGTGAGAGAAGAAGTGTTAAATTTTAATGAACATTCACAGTTTAGAAATCTGCAAGCACTACAAATCAAGGCTTGATTTATTGTTTCATTGATTTTCTAGACTTAAGAATGGGATGGAGAAAATGTTAATAATGCAGATTAAACTTCTACGTGTTTTTCTGAGGAGCCAATTGTTCAACATTTGCCAGGATACTCCTGCTGATTGCTCTCCTCTAGGAGATGATTTTGTCAAAGAGTTTAACCATGAAGGGGAGGAGAAATATAGGACGATAGCAGGGATGGTCAGATCAAATGACAGTCTTTTAAGGATAAGGGAGACATGGGCATGTTTGTAGACATCACAAGAATCCAAATAGACAGGGAGAGATTGAAAATAAGAAACAGAGTGGGAATGATAGTGTCAGTCGTATTCTACAAAGGTGACATTTTGATTTCTGACCGTCTTCCCTTCTGTATTATAGATCTTTTCCCTGCTTTTGACTGTGGAGAAAGGAGAAAAGTAGATCAAGTAATTTAAAGAATTTATAAGAGTTGAGCCAATTGAGTGACAAAGTAGGGCCACTGGGAGCTCAGGATTGGTGAAGGACTGTATTTTACTTGAGCAAAGCTGTTCAAAGATGATTGATCACAGAGGTGTTATAATTGCTACCTGCTCTATTTAAAGTCAGCTTACTCTTTCAGTTAGAAAGCTGTAAGACAGTAGATACTTGTTTACTTTAAATTCACTTAGTGCTTGTGAGGAAAAATAATTGAAACACCTAACTTGCCCCTAAATAATAATTCCAGTTATTTTACATGTTATATTGTAAAGCATAGAGCTGCTCTGAACTTTTCTGGGGTTGTAGTAGACTTTGACCACCTGTGGAGTTCTAGCATCCTTTTATTTCTAAATGTATTTAATATTTGGAATGTTTAATATCCACTAACATTTAACTATTTGAATTCTTATACTAATAGTTTTTTTTCCAGCATTTTGTAGACTTTAAATCCACTTGACACCAATTTTTTTCAATGCTGAATGTATTCAGTTTTGAGAAATATTTTATATCTATAATTCTTCTGTCTTTTGTCAGCTGAAAAAGATTCGATCATTACTTTTGGCTGGAGCTGCTGAATATGATAATTTCTTTCAACATTTGCGTCTTTTGGATGGAGCATTTAAATTATCTGCTAAAGACCTTCGGTCTCAAGTTGTACGAGAAGCTTGTATCACGCTGGGGTAAGAAATGCATTCTTCCAGATTCTTAAATGTTTCATAAATTTATCTTGTAAGAGTATTCCACAGGGTGTTATTTGTGGAATCTCAGAAATAAGCCCTACTTAAACTTTAGTTACTCTCCAAGACTCACGTTAGTCACAAGTCATTATGAAGTATTTCCTGATCTATTTGTATTTATGTAATTAGTTACTTAAATGTTATTTCATGGAAAGAACTAGACTGTGAAAGATTTATTTTAACTATGAAGGGATGTTTTGGGGATTTTTATTAAGATGAGGTATATGCAGTATTCTAAAATTCCCTTGTCATTTTTTGTTTAACAGTTACACTTACTAGTTTAGGTGATTATTATACTCTTTTTATTTCACATGTATGTTGTTGTTTCCCCCTTCACTTCTGTAACCAAATTATATATACAGTAGTTAGGAATCTTCTTTAACCCTAAACCTTCAAGTTACAGCTTGACAGATTATAGTAAGGAAAGTTTTACTTTCTGATACTTTATATGACCAGAGAATATAACTTTAATGTGTGTATAAATGACATCTCAACTCTGTGATATCTATAATTACCTTGTGATGAATTTTTTAACTTGGTTGGAACTGTCAATCAATAATGATTTATTAAGTGCCTGCTATGTCCCAGGCGCTATGCTAAAGGCTGCTCTTTGAATTCATTTTGTACCTAAAATGCTAAAATATAGTACAGACCAGTTACTTACCTCCCCAAAGAGATTCTGTCTAATATACTGTATAGCTTTCTTTGGTGGAATATGTATAATCCTACACTTTATTAAAATAATTGAGCTTTTAGGTAGGTCCTTTTCCCATTCTTGTCTTTATCCATTTCCCTCTGTATACCTCTCTTTCTTACTGCTTTATTTATTTGTTGTTTTACTTTAGTTTAAAGATTATTATGTGAAAATATCTCTTTCTTGCTTTGAAATTTATTAACCTTAGGACTTAGAAAACTGATTTGTGTTTTATTTCCTGATCACATTTACTTTAAACCTTAGGACCAGCATATTAAAATTAAGCATTTATCATATGGTAGATACTAGGCCAGGTGCTGGGATGTAGGAGGGAAAATGAAACCGTCAGTACCCTTAAGAAGCTAATATTTGTGCAAGAGATGGGAGAACATGTGTATCTGTAAGCATATATAAAGTATATTTTATATATATATATAAAATAATTATAAGGGTATTTTGGGGAATGGGGGTACTAGGAGCTGGGTGAATCAGACTCCATGAAGAAGATACTGTTTTAACTGAGTTGTGGGAAATAAGGACAGCTAGGAGGAAGTGATAAGAAGAGAGTGCATTAAGGGCCTGGGCGGCATCCACCTCAAAAGTGTGCAGGTGAGAAGTGGAACATCATGTGTGAACACTAGCAGGACTTACCTGCTTGGGTGGAAGAGGGTAGGAAGGGGTGTGATGTATAAGAAGATTGAAAGGTAGTTTGGGGCCTGGCTAAGAAGTATTTTCAAGGCTAAACAGGAGTTTGTGTTGCTCTAAAAGCAATAATGAGCCAGTGGAGCATACTGAATAGGGGGATGGGATGGCTAGACCTGACCTTTAGGAACATCCCCTCAACAGTTGTGTGGAGAATGTCTTGGAGATGCTGCAGTGGGGGGAGTAGTTAGAAGGTGGTTAATAATAGGGGAGTAAGGAAGGAGAGATGACGGTCTGAACTTAGCAGGCTGTTCTAGGAGTAGTGAAAAGCAAATGTGTTCAAGAACTACTGTGGAGATAAGTATGACAAAATGTAGCAGCTTATTAGATGTCTGGAATTAGGGAGATAAAGGAGTTGGGAACATTCAAAGTTGTGAACCTAGAGACTAAAAGGATGGATCTGTTGTCAGCTGAAACAGGGAAGCTCACAAGTGGTCAAGGATTGATTACTGGAAATTACAATAAATTCTGTTTTGGACATGTTAGTTTGATATGCCAAAGTGACATCCTGTTTCAGTTGTCCAGTAGGCAGTTGATGATAAGGGACTTGAGCTAAGAGACAGTAGCTGAATATTTGAGTCTTGGAGTCATGTACATGAAGATCTAAATAAAAAGAATATACAGAACTCTTAAAAAGAATACATAAGGGGGCCCCTAGGTGGCACAGTGAATAGAGCTCTGGCTTGGAGTCAGGAGGACCTGAGTTCAAATCCAGCCTCAGACATTTAACACTTACTAGCTGTGTGACCCTGGGCAAGTCACTTCCATTGCCTCACCAAAAAAAAAAAAAGAATATATAGCACCTGAGACAGAACCAGAGTTAGTAGGTATAATGTCAATGTTGAATGATCTAGGGAGACTGAGGAGCAGTCAGACAGGAGGAGAATCAGAAAAAGCAGAGACATGAAGACATGAAAAGCAGAGAGGAGAGAGTATCCGGGTGGTCAGTAGTGTCAGTACTGCAGAGAGACTGAGAGATATGAGAATTGAGAAAAGACCCTCAGGTTGAAAATGAGTTCATTGGTACTTTTTAACAGAGTAGTTTCAGTTCATTAATGAGGTTGAAGACCAGCTGGCAGAGGGTTGAGAGGTGAGAGAAAAAGAAATTGAGGCAAGAAGTATTAGCTTTGTTCTATGTATTTGGCTGAGAAAGGAAGGAGAGATATAGGATGATAACTAAAGGTGATTGGATCTAGTGAGTGTTTTTTAAGAAGGCACATGTTAGCAGTAGGGATGGGATTAGTAGGAAAGGGGAGGTGGACGTTAGAGAAATAGAGAAGTATTCTGTTTGAATAGCAATATGATTGCTGGTAAGTAGTTGCCCCAGGATCTGAATTAGGTGGTAGGTAAATTTAGATATTAGTTTTTGACAAAGTTTATAGATTGGGATTATTTATTGGAAGAAGAAAAACTCCTGAAAAACAACTAGATGTATATAGTTTTTAATTTTTTTTGGTATGTGTTAGAGGTAATTTTAATAGCACCCCCCCTTATTTATTGCAGAGTGTTTTAAAAAGATGGCAAAAAATGAATTCTTAGACCATTCATTAGAACATTTCGCTGAAAGGATTATTTTGGTAGCCTCGTAACTGTTTAATGTTGTAGGGCATCACATCCATAATTAACCTGAAATTTCAACTATGGCACCAAAGAATAATAATGAATTAGCTAACAGTTTAGAAAAGTGTTTATTTAGAAATTAACATAATCTGTAATATCGAATCCATACTCTGTTATAATTACTGATCTCTACATTTTGTCAGAAGGGGATATAGTAATGTCTTAAGCTGGTGTATAGCTATGGGATCCGTATTTGTGGATGGGTACTCACCATACGTTTTGTTTGTTCATTTGTTTCTTCTCATTGTGGAACAAGCAGTATAGAGCCACAGAGGGCTAGGAAATTGATTGAAGGGGTATGAGTAAAGGTGAATATCATGAGACTGCCATCCACATCATGGCTGATGTGGTTGTGGTTCTTCCTCTTAGAGCTGCCTCTAAACTGTGTCCGCTTCAGTAGAGGCAGTGAGATAAGTGAGTTTTAGAGTCAGAGGACCTGAGTTCAATTCCTGCTTGTCACTGTGCTTGTGTAACCTTAGTTGAGTCACTTATCTTTCTAGGCCTTAATTACCTTATCTATAGAACTAGGGCTTGAACTAGATGACCCCTCTACATCTATGATCCGTGTGTCTCTACAGAGTAGCCTGTGTCTTAAACCTCACGCACCCCTTTAGAGAGGTTTACTCTCCTTCAACCAGCTATAACCAGCATTCTCTAAATTTATGTATGGAGGTCAGGCCAACAATGATTGTGTGTTTGCTTACATACTTATAGTCAGCCAGTGCTAGTCAAAACTGGTTGAATAATTTTTGGATTGGACCTGGGATACTATTGGTATAGGAACTCCTGGTGAGCAGATTCCTTCTACCAATACAAATTGGATCTGTGACACACATACACACATTCACGTACTGACACACACACTTTTAGTTTATTTTTTATCATCGATATAAGGAACTCTCAGTGTAAACTTCTTCTACGTTGTAATGGGCAGCTCATCCATAGCTTAGAGTGTTCAAGAGTTGCTGAGACGGCAAGGTTAAATGACTTAGCCTGGTCATCCAGTCAGGACTAACCGACTCTTAAGGCTGCCTGGCCATCTGTCCACTACACTGTGCTCCCACTGTTTATTTCATTATCATGACTGCATATGACCTGCTAATGTTTTAGCATTATAGGATCATAATAGGACACTATCCAGTAAAACTGGAACATACTTTAGAAAGCATCCGCAGGAACTCCCTAATTTTATAGATGAGGAGACTGACGCCCAGATTTACATGTTAGAGTTGGGAGTTGAACCCAGGTCTTCTGAGTCTGTATTTATTGCTTTTTTCCACCACACCTTACTGCTTTTGCAGGACAAAATTTTAGATTGCAATATGAACTCAGTTTTATCTGTGTAGAGTGTCAGGGAAAGAAAACAATGGATCCTTGGCTCTGGTGGGTAGGGGAGGGAAGATAAGAGGAAGGGAGTCTCATGTACATATATTATTAAGCTAAGGGGGGTAAGAAAACCCTGAATTGGCTGATGAAACCAAATCTAAAATGCTTTGTTAATGTACATTAGTCTTAACTGGTCATACTAAGTCTTTCTCTTTTGAAAACATCCTGATGTGCTAATCCTCTAGGTTCACTTTGTTCCTTATCCTGAAACTTAAAGAGTTGCTCTAAAATGTTGATTTTCCCCCATCATATTCTGTGACCTGCCTTTTTTTCCTGACTCCAGTAAAATGTTCATCTTATGGTTTGGGTGAGGATTTTATTCTCTCTTCCAAAATATTTGATGAAATCTGCTAATTTATCTGTTTTCAGGAAGATTATTCAGTCTTTTATTCAGTGATAGACAATGATAAAATTCACATAGCAATGTGTCAAAATGTTATTTGTAGAATAGTAATTCCTGCATTATCTCGATAGTTTCCCCCTTCTGTCAAAGAATGTCAATTCATGCAGTTTTCAAATACAGTATAACCTCCTTTAGGACAGGGGCTTCGTTTTTTTCTTCTTTCTGTTTTCCTTTTTCCTTTTTTTCCCCCCTGTAATTAACATGATGCCTAGGACACAGTAGTTGTTTAATAAATGCTTGTTGAATTAGTCAGTGAAAATAAAATTAATTTTTAATTATTCAAAAATAAATGTCATTGAACTGGGAGAATATGTTGAAAAATCAAGTAATAGATAATAAATATACTTGCACTCAAAAGGTAAATGTGACAAGAAGTTTTATTTAGATGTAGAATACTTTTGTTTTGTGACATGTTTCTTTACCTCTTTAATTTTAATAGTTGCAACAAGTCCCAAACAAAAGGCACAGGTCTATCTCTCCCTCCTTTTTCTCCCCCTCCTCTCTTTTTTTTTTTTTGAAGGCATCTGTCGTCAGTCCTTGGAAACAAGTTTGATCATGGAGCTGAAGCCATCATGCCAACCATCTTTAATTTAATCCCAAACAGTGCCAAAATCATGGCCACATCTGGTGTTGTAGCTGTTAGATTAATTATTCGAGTAAGTATGCTTAAATGTCATGTATGTTGTAAGGGCCCAGTCTGTGTTGTTGATGATGATAACAAAATGTGGCATTAGTGATACCAATGTTCCCATTTGGTGTGTAGTTTTCTGACTTGGTTTGTTTTAATAGCTTCCATTTTTAGAAAGAGACCTCGCTTCTCACCTTTGTCTTTTTTTGGACTCCTATGCATAGGATCTTTACATAAATTCTCTCATTTTATCCTTACAACAACCTTATGAGGTAGGTAGGTACTAGTGTGATTCTGTTTTATAGATGAGGATGCTGTGCGAGGTAAAGGGACTTAGGATCACACAACTAGTAAGTGACTGAGGCAGGATTGGAGCTCTGACTTTCTTGACTCCTGGAAGGGATATTAGAGGTCATCTCTTTCAACTCCCTTGTTTTATAGATGAGGAAACTAAGGCACCCAGGTGTTAAAATGATTAGTCCAAGGTCATTCAAGTAATATGTTGCATAGCAGGGATTTGAAGGAGATGCCTTGACTGTAGATCCCATGATCTTCCCTGTATGCTCTGCCGCCATTTGTCATTGTTCAGTTTAACCCCAGTTGACTTTGGGGCTTCATTTTCCTTTCTCGCTCCCCATGGAAAGTAGAAAGAATGGAACGCAGGAGAAAACTGCTTTTCTTGAGTGTTAGAGTTGGATCTTAAAGTATACATAGTCCAGTGTTTCCCCACCCCTGAAGTCCCTTATAGGGTTATTAGGTTAACCCCAGTCCCATCAATTCTTCTTTACCTGATGTCTTCTCCCCCCCCCCCAAACCCCCATTTAACTAGTTGATGACCTGAATGTGCTTTAGTTTCAGTTTCCTTTTGTTATTATGACATTTACTTTTAAATATCATGAAAATGATCTTGCAAAAAGTAACCTAACTAGGCTAAGAGTTTTAAGCTGTCTATAAACATCGTAAGGACTATTTATTTCCTTCTTTATTTATCTGTATCACTGGAGAGGAGCAATAGTAGAGTAATTCAAACTTGCAGATTAAAGATATGATTCTTTTTGTGATTTTTAAAAACAAACATGTCTAATATATTGGAAAACAGCAAATGTTCAAACGAACTGTTGATGATGATGTATTAGAAGGGCCTGACTCAGAGATGAAAAGGTGTTTAACTTCTATGTTTTCCGTGCTCAGTTGAACAACATACACATTCAGATGGCTGTAAAATTCCAACCTTAAAAGAATTTCTCAGTCTCTAAGCTTGCTTTCTCTTTAGATTACTTTAAGGTTTGAATATTTTTATTTCGAAAGGGAAGTAATTCATTACCTTTGCTTAGAAAACCTTTCTTTCTACCTCCTATTCTCTTATGTGTAGCTGTAAGCATAAGCGTCTATCAGTCATAACTTTTGATTTAGTGATCCCATTATTGAGAATACACCTGAAGATTGTTAGTTTGTTTGTAAAACTACATATTTAAAGATAACATTAAATTGCATTACTTTTCATTGTGTATGATTACACGTAGTAATAACATTCTTTTTTGTTGAAAAACATGCCAAAATAACTTTAAATGTTCAGGAACTGGGGAATTGCTAAATAAATGATTGTGTTTAAGTTATAATTAAGATTAATTATATACAACTATATAAAATGAAAAATATATACAAACATGTAGGACCAAATGGACAAAGAAAGCTGAATTGGACAGGTATCCAGTAAAATATTATTAAATGCACATTTTCATTTTGTCAAATATAAGTAGTTGTAAATTTTTTTGTTTTTATTTATATTTAAAGATCATTATCTTTTTATATGGGGCAAAACAGTAAAAAGATGTAAATTCTGTACATAAATAACTACCGTAACTTAAACTTTAAGCATTATATTGAAACACTGCCATATTAATAATAGCTTATGTTTATGTGGTTCAGTAGATAAAATCCAGACTTGGAGTTAGGAAGACTTTATTTCCAGTCTTGTCACAGACACTTCTTAGCTCTGTATGACCCTGGGCAAAGTCACTTAATCTTTCTTGGCCCAGGTTTCCCTATTTGCAAAACAAAAAAATAGTCCCGACTTTGCAGAGTTGTTGTAAGGATAAATTGAGGTGGTGTGTAAAGTGCTTTGTAAAACTTAAAACTGCGTAAGTGTTAACTGTTGTCTGAAAATCTGACAAAATAATTTCTTAAATCTTAATCAGCCTAAGGTTAGATTTAAAAAAAAAATGTTAGAACTGGTATTCATGTGGCCATGAACAAATATCTACAGCAGACATTTTTAAAGTTCACAAAATACCTTACTTATACTATCTCTGCTCCTGAAAAATAACCATATGAGGTATTCTTATTTCCATCTAACTGGTAAAGAAACCAATGCTTCTAGAAGTTATGTGACTTCTCTGTGGTCAAACATCTAATAGATGTTGACTGTAGGATTCAAATCTAGACTTCTCATGCATCGAGGGTTCTTTTCACTCTCCCACATTACCACTTGCTTGACTGCTACAGACTGTTTCAACACTACCGTCTTCATGGAATCAAGTCGTTTTTGAAGGAAAATAATAACAGAATTCTGTGTGTAATAAACTTTCATCAGACAGATTTTTCTAGGGAATATAATGGAAAGTGATGGGTAGATAAGTGTTATTTATTATGTATTTTGGGGTATCATATTTCCTAAACTCACGCAAGCCTTTAGAATAGGGCTTCTTAACCTAATCTCCATGAACTTGTTTTTGTAATGTTTTGATATCTATGCTTCAGTATGGAGCAGCAGGTAGCACAATAGATAGAGGGCCAGGCCTGGAGTCAAGAAGACTCATCTTCCTGAGTTCAAATCTGGCTTCAGACACTTCCTGGCTATGTGACACTGGACAAGTCACTTAACCCTATTTGCCTTAATTTCCTCATCTGTAAAATGAGTAGGAGAAGGAAATGGCAAACCATACCAATATCTCTGCCGAGAAAACCCCAAATGGGGTCACGGAGAGTCAGAAATGACTGAATACTGACTGAACAATAACAAGTTTAATATAATTGGTTTCCTTTGCATGTAACCTAGTATATTTTACTTTATGTATTTAAAACCATCCTGAGAAGGTTGCATAGGCTATACCAGGGGTGGGGAACTTGTGGCCTAGAGGCCACATGTGGCCTTCTAGGTCCCTGGGTGCGGCCTTTTGACTGAGTCCGAGTTTTACAGAACAAATTCTTTTACTAAGGGGATTTACTGGGCTTCCCTGTACTTCCAAAGGAATCCATAACACATACACACAAAAAGTTTTAAAAAAAACCCTGCTTCAGAGCAACCTACTTTGAGGTCATGCTCATTGCCTTCACCATAAGCTTAGGATTTCCCTTAGCCCAAAGAATACAAATCTATGTAACCCTTGTGCTAGAATACCTTATACCATACCTTTTTATCTGCCCTTATTTATCTGGAATGATGCCAGAAATTTTTTGTACTTTTTACTTTTGTCTTCTCTATAATAGTACCAGAAAAGTTAAGTTATACACTGTTTAAGAAGTAAATATTGTATGTAACTATTAAAGTTTCTTATTTAGTACTAAAACTACTTTAGCTAGAGTTTAAATGACATGGGTGATATATGGGTTTGATTTTTCTTGTTAAAACGTCTTAAATATTTTACACACAAATGCACTGTTCTATTTCAAGTATTAAATCCAACCTTATAAAAATTATTTTACCTCATGTTATCTGTGTACACTTATTATCTCATTATTTGTTTTCAGTATATAATTTGCCATGGCCTTTGGCTTTCTGAACAGAATAATGTATGACAAGTAGACGAACCAAAAAAAAAGGTTGGATGACTACTTAATGTTTTCAGGTGCTCATATTTGTTCTGTCTTCTCCACAGCATACACACATCCCTAGGCTAATACCTGTTATAACTAGCAACTGTACATCCAAATCTGTCGCAGTTAGAAGGTGAGCACTGTTGAGATTTTCTCTTCATCTTAGCTGGTGGAATTCGAAACAGGATAAAAATCCAAATTTCACAACTTTCAAAATGTATATAAAATGCATAGAAATAAATATGTTGAAATAAGTACTTTTCACTTAGGGATTTTTATAGAAATATTCTTGATGTGTTCATACAACTTCCATTGCTGATTTGCCTATCAGTGTGTGGGTATAGATATGTGTCTGTTTGTCACTCTTCCTGTGTTCGTGTATTTCTGTTTCCTAAGACAGTTTCCTAGCTTTCTGCTTCTTGACTGTTTCTGAGGTTGGTTGCATATTCAGTTGCTACTCACATTGGTTTTGCTTGAATTAAAATCTTAAATGTATTAACTTTGATTTATATAGCTTTAACAGCCATATTTCTCTTGTCTTCTATACATTTTGGCAACACTTTTGGATTATGTTGTCTAGCAAGTATCACACACAAAAAATTTTCTAGTTAAAAAATTAATGCTGTCATTTGTATGTATGGAGAGGGGTATGTATGTGTGTGTGTACATACATATATACAATATTATGTAATAAACCTCTGTTCTAATGAGATCACCTTAAAAGGAAAAAATATAACTATATGCTGAAAATAAAGTCCCAACTATTGGTAATAATCTGGTTTTTATACAAATCAAATAGGGAAGGGTCAGTGAAACCTAAATTTGAATCAGTATAGCATATACATTTATGTGCATCCTCTCACACTAAATAAAGTTCTTCAAATTATAATCTTTCTTTTTAAAAACGATTTTTAGGCGCTGTTTTGAATTTTTAGATTTGCTTTTGCAAGAATGGCAAACGCATTCACTAGAAAGGTGAGTATCTGATTTGATATTTTTTGACATTTCCTGATATTTCCTGATAAATTTGTTATTTACATTGTTCTACATAGTGATTAGGGGCAAAAATGGAGCTTTTATTAAATTTAACTGTTGTATTATTATTGTCAGTAGTAGTAACAAATACTATATTATAGTATTATCAATAAAGACAAGATTAAGTACTGTAGAATCTGATCTTTTTTACATAGAACTTATTGATTTTTCACCAGCAGTGCACTAGTAGACATTTTAAAATATAGTTAAAGGGCAAGGGAATATCAGAGCTATTAGAAAATTCTTTGCATTATTTAAAAACCTTAGAATAAAATGGTCAGAAAACCTTGATATGCATTTTGTAGTTGTTGTTTAGTCATTTTCAGTTGTGTCTGACTCTTCAGGACCTCTTTTGCAGTTTTCTTGGCAAAGATACTGGAATGTTTTGCCATTTCCTTCTCTAGCTCATTTTACAGATGAGGAAACTGAGGCAAACAGGGTTTTTCTTGCCCAAGGTCACACAGCTAGTAAGTGTCTGAGGCCAGATTTGAACTGAGATCTTCCTGACTCCAGGCCTGGCACTCTATCTAGTGTACCTGCCCCATCTGATATGTGTAGTTTGTGGACTGTAACTGCAAGAATTCTGGGTTTCAAGAAATGAAATTGGTGGTAACTGTACCTGTAAAGGAGCACCTCCTGAAGCTAAATAACCTCTGCCATTCTCTCTCCCTCTCATCTCTCTGTCACTGTCTCTCTCTCTCATTTCTCTCTCTGTCTCTCTCTATCTTGGCTCTTTCTGTGTCTCTCTCTTGTCTCTCTGTCTCGTCTCTCTGTCTCTTGTCTCTCTGTCTCTTGTCTCTATCTCATCTCTCTCTCTCTCTCTCTCTCTCTCTCTCTCTCTCTCCTATTCTGTCTAGAAGGCTACTTTTGTGTCTACTTTGAGCCTGAAGATCTTGTTTTCTCAGTCTTATGTTGTTGAACTCGTGAAATCAATGAAGGCATAGGTGGCATGTTTGTGATATTTGGGGCTGACAGGATGCTGAGAGGAATAGCTTGTATTTTGGATAAGAGAATCTCATTCTGTAGCAGGGGGATGAAGCTAATAAAATGAAATTTAATAAGAGTTGATGATAAATTTCTAAATCTGTTGCACAGAACCAGAGTAATGACACCAACCAACTAGACCATGTATAGAAAAGCGTAAATGACCTTTAAAGTCCCTTCTGATTTTGAGTCTATTATTCTTTGATCCTGTGAACTTTTGAGGACCCTTCCATCTGTTCTAACTCTCATTTTTCATTTAGTGGAACACTAAACATTTCAGTTATAATGGAGTTTTGTTAAAGTAGTATTCTGTGATGTCATATTTCTGCTATTATTTATGAAATGGAGTAATTGTTCATCCTCTTTAAGGTACATTTGTAAGTGAAAAGTTCTCTGAATCTGGTGAAGGATAGGATGCTGGTAGGCAAATCCTTAGTGGAGTTCTTTGATATTTTTGTATGCTTTGTACTGGCAAGCAACTTGGGAAGTGAAGTGGCTTATTTTTTTCCTTTTGAGAGACAGATCTGGCCAGGTGTTTGGGGTTCATTTGAACAAATATATATTAAATGTCTACTTTGTGTGAGGAAATGGGCTAGACTTTGGAATACAGATACAAATGAAGCAGTTTTTACCCCCAAAGCGACTGCATTCTTCTAGGTTGAGGGCAGTTGTTGCTTTTAATGGAAAAAAGCCTCTGAGTGGCCTTGAGAAAACTTAAGCAGAGAATTAGATACTTTAATTTTATAGCTAGAGAGTGACTTTTTAGGAATTATCTCCTATTTTACTAGGTAATTAATAATTTTATTGGCTACAGAGCAACAAAACTCATTACTGTTGACTGTTGTTCAACTGCTAGGATTAGAAAAACCTTTCTTATACAAGTTTTGTAGTGTGATAATATCTGCATATTATTAGAGAAGTTAATGTTTTGTTTAAATCTATGTTTTCAAAATAGAGGATGGTTTATGCTTGGTAAATAATTCTTGGGTGCAAGGTGAGGCAGATATAGATACGTGCTTTGATTTGGTAAAACTGTACTTATTTGCAAAGATTTATTCGTTTGTGTTTTGTTTTTTTTTAACTTGTTGGAATAATCTAGCCTGAACGTTTTCCTTTTCTGAATACTTTGAAAAGAATTACACTTGGCTTCCTTCTCAGGTTGCAGAGGTAACAAAAGAAATACCCATTTACAAAATGGCTATGTGATTTTTTAGATTCAAGTGAAAACATCCTTAAATGTAAATCATATCTTGACTAGGTAAAGCAGTGCCTTTATTATTAAGAGGATCATCTACAGTTGTGTTGAGCTGAAACTATTTTAATACCATCATTATTTCCAGAAGACATTACGTTGACCACAGAAAAATGTAACCTTTGGTTTTCTCCTCCCATAGAACTGAGATTGGCCTGGGAAAGCCAGCTACATAAAAGAAATTGGGTGAAGAGGGGGCTTTAAAGTTGGAATGCCCTGAGGCTTGTTTTTCTTATTTCTCAAGATGCAAACAGCAGAAATATCTTTTAATTTGATATTAATATTTTGAAATTGTTTCTCTGGGCTTACTTGCTCATAAAATATCTCTTTATGTAAACAGACATATATCAGTATTAGCAGAAACAATAAAGAAAGGAATACATGATGCTGATTCTGAAGCAAGGATAGAAGCAAGAAAGTAAGTGTTTACTAAATTACTTCTTACTAAATAACTTTAGATCTTGGTTGTGTTAATTTCTTTTGGCTAAGAGTTTATTTGATGTGGCTTTTCTCAAAGATCAAGCTATACATCTGACAGTTTCAGAAAATTTTATTGGTTGTATGCCATTGCTAATAGTTTAAGAAGTTTTAATGATACTGTTATCAAATTTTCTTCAAAATCAAGCCCATAAGCATATGTTTATGAGTAAAGTCTTTTCTTGTTCTAATTAGGTGTTACATCAAGCTGAATTGTTGCTCAAATAACTGGGAATGTTTCATAAAAGTACTCTGAGAATAAGTTTCTATTGGTATAATTTCTGAATCACTATTGAGGACTTTTAGTGCACATGGTACTCATAGGTTTTTGTACTTTAATATGGACATAGTTTAAAGATTTCCATTATTATAATTATTTCCTAAGTCAAAATTTGGACTATTAGAGTAAGTTCATATTTTAAAGAACAATTTTACACTATTGGTCCATTTCTGACTACTGACTCTCAACAACCTGTCATCTCTCCTTAGCAATTGTTCCCTACCCCCATACCCCATCCCAAATAGATTTATAGGTCTTCATCATACCATAGAATGCTACCCAAAATACACAGTAACATTAAGTAAATAATTAATTTTTCATTTCATTTATAAAATTTGAGGAGCAAATCAGTCTAAAAATTGAACCACTTAATATCTTTTAATTCTTAAATGTATAGCATCTCAATCAGCCTTAAATTCAATAAGGTAGTTTATTTTAGCAAAGCAGTATAGATACTTTTCGTTTTCCAGACTTACCTGGCATGATGCTTTTTTGTTACTTTCTTTTAACCTCTAAAATCTCTTACAGTATAGTTGTTTGCTTTTTGTCTGTGCCTAAATATGTTTGCTTTTCATTGGTTCCAGCATTAAACTAGCTGTATATGATTATAGGGTTGTTGTTGGTTTGTGTTTTTTTTTTTTTGTAGGAGCGTTGTGTAAGTTTACATTGCTGATACCTACAATGTAGGGAATGGTTCAGAACACACTCTCAAGGGATGCAAGTTGTCTTGACCTTGTGGCACAGATATATCATAATAAATAACCATGTTAGTCCTTCTACATACACCAAATTCCCTAGCAACTAAGGAGCCAGACACTCAAGGCTTAGCTAGATAAAAAACGTACCTGAACAGGGGAGTAAGTTTTGTAGAGCACAGTATAGAACAGTGTAAACAAAAAGTACACCAGTCTCCAAACCATTGTGGCTGTTCAGTCCTACTGTGCTGAGGTTTTACTCTGGGCCTCGTTTTCCTCAGCACTTCACAGTCACTCTCTGGCAGCAGCAGAATTGTGTGTGAAGTGGTCTAGGGCTCAGCTTTAGTGACAACATTCTAATCTAGGGTTTGGGGGAATTGATTATATGTCTTTACTGAGACGTTTTGGATTTTATTTCCAGATGTTATTGGGGTTTCCACAATCACTTCAGTAGAGAAGCAGAACATTTATACCATACATTAGAGTCGTCTTATCAGAAAGCTCTGCAGTCACATCTAAAGAACTCGGACAGCATCGTGTCTTTGCCTCAATCGGATCGTTCCTCTTCTAGTTCTCAAGAGAGCCTAAAGTAAGAGATCAAATTCCAGTTTTTTTGTTTCTTTGTTTTGTTTTGTTATTCTTTTGGGTTTTTTATCTAGGATGTGATTTTGTGTGTGTGTGTGTGTGTGCATGTAGAAAACTTTGCTTTATGAAGCTATAGGTTATCTTGGCTCTGAATAATTTAGTAAGCATTCATTGAGCACCTGTTGTGTTCAGAGGCCCATTTTAGGAGCTAATTGAGGATACTAAGAAAGGCAAAAATGTCCTCATTATTAAGGCATTTACAGTAAAAGTTTGTTTATATAGCATGTATCAAGAACAATTTTAAGCTAATATATAAACAAGTTAATGATAAGTGTAGTGTAGCTTGTATATACACAAAGGAGACATAATTTCTGAGGAAGTTAAAAGAAGTGTGTGATTCTGTGACTTTTATATGAATGTTAAACATGGATCTTTCTTAATTGCCAGCCGTCCACTGTCTGCCAAAAGAAGCCCAACTGGAAGTTCCACATCTCGAGGTGAGAGGCATGTTAAGGCATGTTAAGGGGTTCCCTGAACTTGCCTTTTTGAATTGCCGTATTTTCCAAAAACACTGGACTCAGAATACGCAGAAGGCCATGAATGTGTCAAGGACAAAGCCCCCCACCCCCCAGCCCCCACCCCCCTCACTGACATAATGTGTTGTTTGCATCCCAAGCTGGACCATCTTTGTGTCCTTGGGAGTTAAGATACCTGTCAGTCTGCATTAGACTGAGAAATTGCTTGTGCCGCTGGGACTCTTGTAGATAAGCGGAGCATCCTATGGTCATGGTCTGGCACAGGCCTGCACAGCTTGCGAAAAATGTAGAGGAAAACATCCTTTGTATGGAGAGGAAATCCTTTGGCGTGCCAAGCAGCCTTAAGCACAGGCTACAAGTTGTACAGGCCTGGTCTAGCAGTTCCCAAGGGAAAATAATGTGGCTTTTGCCATTGCTTTGCTTCTCCCTTTTAGGAGGGGTTTTGTCCTTTTCCTACCTTTACTGTGCCTTTCCCTCTCCCATGCCAAGCCCCTTTAGATGGAGATTCTGATGCCTTCTCTTGCTGTTGTAAAAATGTAAACTTCTGTATGGATTGTGAACTATTTGGCTTGCACATGCATGTTTATTTTTCTTATAATAAACCTGGTTTTCACAGAAGTTTCCTGAATTTGGAAGCCTTCTTTTATTGAAAACTGCCTGGTTCACGTCCCTTTCTCTCTTCTCCCCCCCACCCCACTGCCTTTTGTAGGTTGTCTTGCCCTTTAGATTGTAAGCTCCGTGAGGGCACCATCTGCCTTTTTCATATACCACACACATTAGCACAGTGCCTGACATGTAGTAGGCACTTAATAAGTGTTTACCAAATTAAATGGGAAGGAGATGAGGTGGGAATTCCCCCATTGTTCAAACTGTAGACTGGATTGTGACAGATACCTACTTTTGATGGCTTGACTTTAGAAAGCAAATTATCTGTTTATCAACTTCCTTCCATATCAACTACATAGATCTTTTGTCGTATGGTTTACCTCTCTTTTTCTACAGAACTCCAGTTGCAGTTTCACCGATGATGAGAAGAAATTTTGGAATTAACAGTTAGGGAAAAAATTAGGACCAAAGTTTTTTTTTTTAAGTGAGGCAGTTGGGGTTAAGTGACTTGCCCAGAACCACACAGCTGGTGTTATGTGTCTGAAGGAATTTTTCTTAAACACCTATTTCTAATTTCTTTTTGTCAGTACTATGAATAGAGCAGTTTTCTGCTGGAGAAAAGTAAAATTAAGAAAATTGAAAGAAGTTCAGAAAATGGGGCACAGAGATGTTGCCAGCAAGAGCTGCCAACTCCTGAGGAGACTCAGGCGGGTGAAACAATCTTCTCCATTGTCTTCAGAAATAAGAAAAGGAGAATAAGCCAGCATGTTTACATATGCAGGCAGTCACTCAATTAATCAGTCAACAAGTATTTATTATCATATATTATATGCCAGACAGACCCTGTTCTAAGCACTGAGAATATAAAGAAAAGCAAAATACCAACCCTGCCCTCAAGGATCCTATGTTCTAAAGGGGAGACAACATGCAAAATATATAGGTAGAAATGGCAGGTGATCTCAGAGGGAATGCACACCAGCAGGTGGACAAGTGTGTGAGGGAAGAGCTAGGGAGGAGAGAGACTGAGAAAGGCCTCCTGCAGAAGGTACAGTGAGCGTAATCTGTATGTGGGACAATGAAGAGGGGAACCCAATATGAAAATATTTTTCTTCTTGTACCATTCATTATTAACCAGTGTTTTGTTTTCCAGTATAATCCGCTCTGGTGTGTTCAGGATGGGATGAACTCATTTTAGCCAGTTTGAGTTGGTTAGGGCTGCTTCAGTGCATAGGTGCTTGCCAAGAAATAGCCTTGGAGAAATAATTTTTTTTTTGATATGTTTGTGTGTGGTTATAGTGAAGTGCTTACTATTGAGTTTATTTTATTCTCTCCCACATTAAGCTTCTACAGTTAGTACCAAATCTGTTTCAACAACTGGATCCCTGCAGCGGTCTCGCAGTGACATTGATGTGAATGCAGCAGCCAGTGCCAAATCAAAAGTCTCAGCAGCTGGCTCCACCCCTTTCAGTTCAGCAGCTGCCTTGCCTCCAGGATCATATGCATCATTAGGTAGGCCCCAAAAACTGCAGTTCAAATTATGTTAAATTTTCCCAACATTCTAATTAATTTATCAAGTTTGCTATTCTAGTCAGACTTTAAGAAAGCCATAGTTGAAATTTCAAAATCCTGTGAATGGATATTCAGGAAATTAACATATGCAGGTCATAGTACATATTGAATGCCTAACATGTGCTGAGCATTATCCTTCTTAGACATCAATACATACATAATTTGAAATTAAACAGGGTGCTTTTCCCTCAGTTTTCCCTTAAGCCTTCTGGGTCAGTCACCAATATTTGAAGTAATATCACCTCAGACATTTTACTGCCACCCACTCTAGAAGAGCTAGCATCTAGCAGAGCTAAATGCATGCTTTTCCAATCTTTTGCCATTTGTCTTCATTGTTTCCAGTAAGGAAGAAAAGCAACAATAAAATAGTAAAAATGAATTGATGATAAATTTTGGGAAGAATATCACCAGAGCTATGTTTCCGTAGATGTAAGTATTGGGTGTAATTTGCTTTTTTCTCTGAACAAGCATATCAAAGCATGTACATCCAAATGAGAGTGGTTCTTGAGAGCCATAACCTTGTGAAACGCTTCACTTGTTGCTGAGAAGACTTCTGATGTTCTTTAGAATGGTCTTCAAATACATTTCTAAAAGAGACAGTATCATTTGTTGTGGCATATCTTTAGCCTCTGAGGTTAGATTTAATTTTTGGAAATTGCCACAAGTTATTTGAAGCTAAGCCCAGTAAAGGAAGTGGGTGTGACAGGTGGGTAAATGTCATTTTGTGGAAGTTAAGTGTTGATTGTAAAACAGTGGGACTTTTTTTCTTGGGTACCTGTAGGGGCTGTTTCCAAGAAAAGGTTCTCAAGATGTGTATTGTAGCTGCACTGTTCAAATAAATGTCTAGATTTATTTTGGTGGGACTACTTTGAAGGAGGAAATAGCCATTGGGATGTGTATGTTCTGATTGTTTTAAACACACACGAACACACATGCACCCCCCCCCAAAAAAAAAAGTTGTATCACAAATACAAGTCAATTTCATTGGGAAGAAGTACTAGTAGTATTTTCTTCCCAAATATTAAACTATTAGATTATGTTGAAGATAAGGACTTCTTCCAAAATTTAAAACAAAGGTTTACCATTTTACTAAGACAAAGTTTTTGTATTCATAAAAAAGAAAAGAAAATCATCTAGTTAATCCAGCAGTCTTCACTGTACACTCAAAATTGAACTTTTATAAATTTCATTTTGATTTCTTTGCAGTTCTTGTTAATTTGATATTCACATGTTCCTTAAGATATGAGTTCAAAATCCATCTCTGAAGTAGCTAATTATTTCTTGTTTTCCCACAACTTAATGTTAGATGGTTGACCACTAGATGCCACCCCATCAAAATTTCTGCCAAATACCTTTTTTTTTTTTAAGTTACTATAGTATGTTCATTCTCATACCTCATCCCCTCTTCCTCTTAAGGAAAAATGGTTAAATGAAATGTGGATTGATTTCTTAACATAATAGTGTTTGTTTTTTGTTAACAGTTTTTGTTTGGCTTGGCACATTTGTTTTAGTGTATAACCAAAGTTTGTTCAGAATAATAGAGTTAAATCTGATGCTCCTTTTCCAAACTTCTAGAGTCCAGACACATCAGGGAGGACTTGGAGTACATAGGCCTTGAACCAGGTACCATGCTAGACAGCTTTTGCTGCTGTATAATGTAGATTGGAATAGGCATTGCTAAAGCAAGCTTCTTACTTGCTTCTCTGTCCTGTAGGTATAACCTTTTCCCCCTTTGCTAGCAATTTCCTTCAAAGAGGGAAGGAAATTCAGAGTGCAGTAGTTGAGCTAAATTTCCTCTCTGGTGATATGCAGTGTATGCAGAGTTGCTTCTTGGTTCTTACAATGTAGACAAATCCATTAATTAAATTACATACCAGATTTAGGTGCTTCAGAATTTGCTTTGCAGTTCAGAGCTGGTTTCCTTTTAAGCTTAATTTAAAATGGAATTTTTCACTTTTTTTTAGTAGCTAATTTCTGCCCTTTTTTAATGTTACTAACTGTTCCCTGTTATCCCTTCCTTTGTTTTTTTTTTCTTTTGATTTGCTTAAAGATGGTACTACCACTAAATCTGAGGGTAAGCAGTTTGTGTCTATGACTGAGGTGTGTTTACAACTGTGTACTTCAATCACTTCTCTCTAGTCTTCCTCTCACAATGTGTCACTTAGTGTTCATCTGTACTCACTGGTACCCTGCATGAAATGTTGCATGGATGTTTTCTTTCCTGTCTTCATCATTCTGCTGCTGCTGGATTTTTGTCTATTCTCCTCGAAAGCATTGTCTTCTTTCGGTGTTAGATTGTAGGGTGTGTGGATCCTGCTGTCCCAAAGGTTTTTTTCTGCAGAATTTGCTTTCTTTGTGAAAGGGGAGGGATTATTGACTTTGGGGATTATGTGCTAATCCTTCTTGGCTGCCTCTCTGAGACTTTATTATTCCCAAAGTACTACTTTATCTTTTCCCTTCCTTTCTAGACTTTTGTGCACTTGTGGTCTCTTTTTAGTGTTAAATTATTTTGTCATTTGTAGAATAGAATTTATGTAGTCTCTTGAGTAGATACTATTTTTCTAATGAGGAACTAGACTTTTAAGTATATGTAAGCATTTAGGAGGACATTACATATAATTGACGAACAGTAAGTGTTATTGTGTTGCATTCTTTTTTATAACCTCTTTAAAGCTCCCTAAGACATCGGACTGATTTCTGTAAAATATTCAACACACTTTTCTTGTTTTCATTGAACCATCAAGTTTTTCAGTAGGAAAAACAATAAAGTAAACCATCTTTCAGCTCATTTTGTTTTTATTGACTATTTTCAGTTCTTTATAAATATTAGAAGAATTATCTGTAAACTAATTGAAGAAGTGCCTGCTGTGGAGATAACAGTGTGTTAATGGAATAGCTTATAGTATAGATAGGGAAATGAGCAAAATAATAACAAACGTACAGTAGTTAAGTCAGAGTGTAAAGCAATTCCTAAGCGACCAAATGAGTAATAAGTGCTGTAAGTGTTCAGAAACATAGAGATCCATTATAGTTTAGTTCAGTTGTCTGTAAAAGACAAAAATAAATTCCCTGAAGCAAAGAGCTAAATTTTTAGAAATACTACAGTATTTCTAAATTATTTTTGGCTTCCAGAAAGAAAGATGATACTGAATCATGGGTTCATATTCTCATTCTCAGGGAGCTTTCTTATGTCATATATCTCCTTTTTTCACTTTAGACATTTCTGTTTCAAATTTAGCACTCCTAGCTCTTTGAAAAGCTAGCACATTTTTTTTCCCAGTCAAGATGAGCCTCCAATCTGCTTATGATTGAAAATGGTTTTATCTAGTTTACTTGCAGGTTCCAGCCCTTTCATGATCTGTAGGTGTTCTTCAGGGCTTTTTGTCTTCCTTTCAAAGGAAAAGAGCACTATGACCACAGTGTTTCTGCTTCTATTTTTAGATATTTTAAATCAAAATAACACCAAAGTAAAAAGACTTATAAAATGTCCAAGCTGAGGGTGCAGGTGAATGATATCCTTTATAAGGATGTTCTAAATCTTCATCCATTATGACTAAAGGCAGAGATTGTACATAGTTTTGAAGCTGGAAGTTGAAATTTGTGTTCATCTGCTAATGTGGATAATGTCTATGTCTACTCTGGAGATGTGCCTCTGTATTCCTCACAGTAGAGTTCACGTTCATTGGAAAGAGAGTAAACATGTAGGATGGGAAGAAAAAGTATAAGGATGTGGGTGGAGCTAATGAGGATGGAAAGTACTATAGAAATTAGTTATCCTCTCAAATATCTTCCCTTCTTTGTAAATTGGAGTTACCCTTCTTAATTCTCCTGTACTGTCCTTGCTTTATTACTTAGGTAATTTACTCTGCCCTAAACAGCGAGGTGGCACAGTGGATAGAGTGCTGGACCTGGAGTCAGGAAGGTTCATCTTCTTGATCAAATCTGGCCTGAGATACTTACTAGCTGTGTGACCCTGGACAACTCACTTAACCCTGTTTGCCTCATTTTCCTCATCTGTAAAATGAACTAGAGAAGGAAATGGCAAACCACTCCAGTATCTTTGCTAGGAAAACCCCAAATGAGGTCATGAAGAGTTGGATATGACTGAACAACAAAAACCAACTTTAGGGCAAGAACTCCAAGGAAAGAAGCCCATCTTTTCTTGTCGATTTCTGCAAAAAAATATTTGGGGGAATGGAATTTGGAGTTTAGAACCTTGATTATAGAAAAGGAAATATGTAAAGTAAGAGATCCTCCAGAGAAGCAAAATCATTTTCACTCCATAAAAATCATATATGTTGCTTCTCAGTTATACAAATCTATGTAATTATTCATGTAAGTCCTTTATACTACTTTTTTCCCCTCTCATCTGTTATTTTGGAAAATAAATTTTAGGATTTTTTTTTAAAATAAAGAGGTATACTTTTTAAGGTGAGAGAACACTTTCTTCTTGATATAGTATTTAGCTGTTAGTCAAAGACTCGAGCAGCAAGTTTGAGTCCCTGCTGGGAGAATCCCCACTTCTCTTCACTATTATAAACTCTGTGTCTTTTCTTGTTTCACTCCTTGTCCCTGTAGTAATTAATCATTAACCATTTAGGAGAAAACTGTCTCTGTTTTCTTCTCATATTTTCTCATCCCCCTTTCCCCCATCATGCCCACCCATTCCACTGTGCCCTCTAGAATTCCCATTCCATAGTGAACACGTTCCCCTTCGTGTTGTAGTACCTCTTTCACACTCTGCATCTCAAAGCTGCCTCAGATCTGACTCCCCTCTCAGAACACCTTGTTTCCAGCACTGACTGTACCTTCTCTCTCTCTGTGCTACCCTGTTTCTGAAAAGGGAATCCAAGGACTCTTTGCTCCCCATGGTCACATTCAGACTTTCCCTTTGCTGTTAGTCCATCACTGACTGCACTTTCCTTCCTTTCTAACATTCGTCTAGGGGTTAGCTGTTTCACTTCTGCAATGGCTTCTTATTCTTGATCATCTTGCTCCCATGGCCTGTTGGCTGCTCTTTTCTTTCCAAATCTCAGCCCTGGATTACTCCCACCACCCCTCTCCTCTGTTTCTACTCATGAGCAGCTGAATGGAGCTGGAGGAAGTCCCATAGCAGTACTGACTGCTGGCTCCATTACAGATCTATTTCTCCAAACTAACCTGAGCCCTCACTGTAATAGAGTAGTCTTTTTATTCCTCTCTAATTGATTCCCTATCTCACGTAAACCTCTTTCTTTAAGCCCCCTCCCCCCTTCAGGTCCTGTTCCCTCCTTTACCTCAACTAAGGGTCTTGCCTTCTACTTTACTGAAAAAAACTAAAGACCGCTGGACATGAGCTTCTCCCTCTCCCATTTTCTTCATCTCAAAACCCCTTGACGTCATCTCCCACTCTGGTCTCCTTTCCTCTGGTCTGTGATAGTTAAGGTAGTCTTTCTCTTTGCCAAAGCAAACTCCTCTACATGTGTGCTTTACCCCATGCCTTCCTGTCTTCTCCAGGAGATTATAGTTTCAGTCATCTCACCTCTCCCTTAAATCTGGAAATTTTCTCTATCAAGTGATTCATTTCTTGCTGTTTTCAAGCATGGCCAAGTTTCCTCCTTCTCTTTCTTTTCTTAGCCAAACTCCTTGGGAAAAGTTGACTCTACTTGCTCTCTCTCTCACTGACAGCCATTTACAGTGTCACTTTCAGTCTCATCAATCTACTCCTCCAAAGTTACCAGTAATCTCCTGATTGCCAAATTGGATGATCATTTCTTACTCCTAACCCTTCTTGACCTATCCGCTGCATTGATCACTGTTGACAACACTTTCCTCTTGGATACTCTTTCTTCTCTGAGTTTTTGTGACATTATTCTCCTCTAGTTTGCCTGTCTGACTGCCTTTTCTCAGTCTTTTTTGTTAATTCGTTATCTACATCACACCATCTAACTTTGAGTGTTACCCATACTTTTGTTCTAGGCCCCTTCTCTTTTTCTGTACTTTCTCATTAATTTTCATGTATTTAACTATCATTTCAGTCCTGAATCACTAGTTGACTTTTGCACATTTTGAACTGGATGTTCTGAAGACATCTCAAACTCAATATTGCCAAAAGTCAACTTGCTGTTTATCCTCTTAAACCTTCCAATTTTCAGTTTTCCCTCTTTCTTTTGAATTTTTCACTCTCCTTTACCCTACAAATCCAATCACTTGCTATATCTTTCCATTTCTACCTCCATGACTTCTCTTCCATCTAACCCCATCTCCTCACTGACACAGCTACTACTTTAGTTCAGTATCTTTTCACCTCTTACTTAGATTATTATAGCAGTCTCGTAATGGTCTCTCTCCACTACAATCCATTTCATATGTTGCTGCCAAAATAATTTTCCTCAAATACAGATCTGATTGTGTCTCTTAATCTACTCAAATTGCAGTGGTTTCCTCTGGCCTCTAGAATAAAATGTAAAGTCCTCTATTTAGCTTTTAAAACACTAACCAATCTGGACCCAACCTATCTTTCTAACCTCTTTGGATATTACTCCCCTTTCTGAGCTCTGTGGCCTAGCCAAACTGGCCTTCTCTTTGTTCCTCACTCATGACATTCCACCTCTCATCTCTGTTCATATGTTCTGACCTTTCTCCGTTCTTAAAATATGAAGTGCAGCTCAGACACCATCTTCTGTATGAGATCTTTCCCGATACCCTAATTGGTAGAGCCCTTCCTCTCATGGTATTTTGTGTTTAAGTACTCTCTATGTATGTTTGTGTGTGTGTGTGAACCTCCTATCTATGCTGCACATATTTTTATATGTTCTTGCTTTCTCCTCCATTAAAATGTAAGCTTATCCTGAGTAGGGATCATTTTGTTATTTGAATTTGTATTCTCAGCACCTAATAGTTCCTAGAACACAATAAATGTTTGCTAAATACTTGATTAATTAAATAGGTGGTGCAGTGGATTTAAAACTGGGCCTGGAATCAAAACTTGAGTTTAAATTCAGCCTCAAACACTTACTAGTTGTGACCCTGGGAAAGTCACTTAACCTCTGTTGCCTCAGTTTCTTCATTTATAAACTGGGAATAATAATACTTAACATGTAACAACCTCCCAGGGTTGTTGTGAGGATCAAATGAAATAATAGTTGTATAACATGCTTAGCACAGTGCCTGGCACATAGTAAGTGCTAAATAAATGTTCACAGTTATTATTATCATTATTATTAAGAAAAATATTTTATGGAATATTCAATATATGTGAAAAGGCCTTCTAAGATATATACTTATATATGGAGTGCTAAGATCTCTTTAGGTCTGTTTTCATGCTAGCAAATTTCCACATTGCTTCCAGTATTTTACATATCAAATTACTTAGAATATTCTTTCTAAAGAAAATCTAGACATGACAAATAGGCAGTTTAAGGTGAAAAAATTGGGCTTCTTTGAGCAAATATATTCTCTAATAGTGACTTTTTTGTTAAAACCTAATATATATATATACATATATATATATATGTATATGTATATGGATTCTTTTTTCTTAAAAGAATAAGCTGAGGGAAAAATGTTTATGTATGGCTTGGACCATGGGAACTGAACATAGTCTCAAATTCAGCCTCTAGCCCAGTCTGAAGCCTGCAGCAAAATAATGAGGGCAAGAATCCTAGATCAAAGGGAAGCCTGCAATTCTGCCACTAAGAAGCAGCTGATTTTCCAACTGGTTTATAGTGGCTGAGTAAAACAGCCATCTTCTCCAACTCCCAACGGGGTAAATCCACAAAGTCTGCTGCTTAGATCCAAAACCAGCCCAGAAACTAGCAGAGTTCAGACTCAAGGATTCAGACTTTGGCCTGGATCAGACCAATTTAGGAGCACTGAAAGCTGGCTGGTCCCCAGCCTGATTCTAAGGTCCTAGCATAACACAGCACTCAGGGCCCATGAAAGCAGCAGCAGGACCTACCCAGACATTGCTTTCAGAAGTAGACTGAGCCTGGCTCTAACAAAAGGACTGAAATCAGGAAAAAGGCTAGAAAGATGATCAAACAGAAAAGTAATCCAGACATAAAGTACTGTTATAGAGGCAGGGATTCTCGAGACAGAAACCCAGAGGAAACTCAAATGACTTCAAAACATCTACGAGCAAAGCCTAAAATAAAACACAGCTTGGACACAAATTCAGCTAGAATTTCTGGAAGAGATGAAGCAAGAGTTTTTTCTTTTTAGTTTTAAAATGTATTGGTAAATGAAATGAGAACACTAGAGGAAAAAATTGGAAAAGAAATAAGAGCTTTGAAAGAAAAAAAAATGAAAAAGTAACTGCTTGGCACAGAGGTGAAAAACCTTGTCCAAGCAATAAACTCCCTGAAAATTATTGTGGTCTAAAAAGAAGCCAGTGACTTCATGGATGCCAGGACATACTCACATAAAAGTCAAGACTAGAAAACAAAAAGAAAATGTAAGTTATCTCATAACAAAAACACTCACTTTGGGAATATTTTAGTTATATTAAGTCATATTAAAACATGGCCAGTAAGCTAGGTGGCTCAGTAGATAGAGCACGGGCCCTGGATTCAGAGGACCTGAGTTCAAATCTGGCCTCAGACACATAACATTTACTAGCTGTGTGACCCTGGGCAAGTCACATAACCCCAATTGCCTTAAAAAAAATAGCCAAAAGACTGTGCTTTTCCATACTGTTTTTTATTCTGGGCAAAGCTATATAACCAGAACTTACGGTTGGTAGCCATGTCTGGAATGCAAAGAAGGAACTAAATTAAGTACGATATTATGATAAGCTGCACAGTCTTTAGTGGGTTTTTAATTAGGTAATTTCTCTGATGTTAAAAATTTCACTAAAAAGAACATAAACAGGGAAATTTATCTTTATAGAGACAGAAACCAGGATACTTTAGGAGAATGTGATTCTTTGGAAGGTTTCAGTGATCTAAAGCTGTTGGCAAACATCTTTGAAGCTAAATTTATAAATGGCATTCCTCCTAGACTATATTGGAATTGTCAGAAAAATGCAAGAGAATACGAAATACATGTTTTGGGTTCTATTTCTGAGATAACAGTAAATAATACCTCATTATTTTTTCCACAAACATTGTATGTGCAAGACACTCTGCTAGGTACTAGCGATATAAAGATGAAGATCTCTGTGCTCAAGGAACTTTGGCAGATTTCAGGAGGGAGAAGAGTGCTTTTAACAAGGCGAATCAAAAAAGGCCTCAGGTTGGAGGTGGTTTTTGAGCTAGCTTTGAAGGATACTGAGAATTCTGTAAGACAGAGGTGATGAGGGGGAGTGTATTCCAGATGTCATGGACCACCTCATGCCAAGGCATACACAAAATGCAGTAACATGATAGAGGAATGTGTTAAGGCACACCAGTATCACGGTACTCCAGATTTATTCGATTCCCTCTTACTTTTCATTAGCTAGATGGACTTACTCGAATTCTTAATACAGAATTTGGAATTTAGAACAAGTGAGGAATACAAAGCAAGAAAAAGGGAACTACCCATTTCTGTTAAATTAGAAATGTCCTATATGTGTTACAGCCTACGTCATATTGTCTTTTCTTGTGAAGGTAAAAACTACAGTAACCTTGGCTTAAGATACTGATGGCTAAACCATCAGTATCTTAATAGATCTGTTCTGGTTTGGGGCTTTGACTTCATTCCATCTGACCTGTGGGGCAAGTACAAGAGGCGATATCTCTCTACATATCTACAATTCTAAAAAGACAAAGGTGGCTTTAAAACATTTTAACAACAATGTCCTTAAAATGTATGATTGGATGTTTATTTTGTAATGGTTGATAGTCTCTTTGCCTGTCTTCTCTTCTGTGTAAACATCTGGTTCAGTATATGAGAGAGTTGATTTTCTTCTGCTAAATATACTTGTTTATGTCTATTCCTGTACTCTTGCCTCTTTGTAATTTACTTATGCTTTATCATTCTCCTTTTCTCCCTCATGCCTCCCAAGCCTCATCATAATACAAAACTAAAAAATTATTTGCTATATTTATTGAATAAAATTTTGTGTTCCCTGTTGATTTTTTGAAGTGGATAATTAGAACATTTTTTCCCTTCATGCCTCTCACCACTGATTGATTTTTCTGAGTGTCTACCATTTGTTTTGCTCTGTATTTACAACATCCTCAAAAATTCTCCTTCCTCAAAAATCCCAGCATATGATTCTTTTTCCTTAAAAGAGTGTTTTTGAAAACTGTGGCTATTTTCCAAAGTTTCCTCTTAATGCTTCTCCTTCCCTTCTTCCCCCAAACTTATTTTCTTCGAGTCTTCATCATTAGACTTTTTTTCATTCACCCTTATGCCTTCATTTTCCATATGCTGAAAAGATTTTTTCTTTTTTAAAATTTTTGTATTTTAAGGCAAAAAAATGATTTGAAGACACTTTATTGTCTTCAAATTTATTTTTTTAAATGCACTTATTTTTAATTGTATTGTTTGTGTGATATCTGTCCTTAGAAATTAGGGAAGTCTTATACAGAAATTAGGGAAGTCTTATACAAAGAAAAAATTGGCCTCATTCAGATAAATAGCAAATCTTGCAAGCATTTGTTATTTCTGATTATTTAATTCAGAAATGTTTCAGCTTTTAAATTTCCCCAAGGAAGTTTAGATTGCTTTGTGTAGTGACAGTAGTCATTGCCAAGAAAATTTTTCTGTAATTGCTAAATACACAAAATTATTTTTTAGATTATGTTTCTCTAGGCAGCTAACATCTTATTTATTTTCTTATTAATCCTGAAGGCTTGTGATATTGTAAAAATAGCTTTATATTGAGTTCCATGAAATCTTTATTTTCAAGGTGATGTGCACTCATGTTGATGACTACATGAGAATGGGTTCTTTTTTCAACTTTTCTTCCTATTGCACCTTTCTCAGTGCAATCTGATATAACTAGGTTTCCAAGAAACTAAAATTATGATGAAAGATAACTATAAAAATTATTTTGAAATTTATGGAAAACATTTCTTTAGCTATATTACCATATCAATTTAAAATTTGCTCTGAGAGATAATGGGCTATAGGCTAGACTGGTGGGATGGTATGCATTTGGCATATTTCTCTATCCTGGATCACTCTTAGGTTTGTGTTTTCAATAAGAGGCTTTTGTTTTCTATTAAAGATCACTTTACAAATTATGTATAGATCATGTATTTGTAACTACATTCAGAAGATTGCCTGTGCACAGAATTTCTCTTATTGTGCACAATGGAGGATTCCATCCCCCACATACACAGTCATATTTTGCCCCATGGTTTATTTGGGTAGTGACTAGTGCCTGTGTTTCAGCCTGCTTTAACCTGTATAGGGCATTTATTTTAAATATGAAATAGAAGTTTCATTTCTGTTCAATCTTCCAGGCCGGATACGCACGCGACGACAGAGCTCCGGGAGTGCGGTCAGTGTCACCACCACCCCTGATAACCGTGGCCGCAGCAGAGCTAAAGTGGTTTCACAGTCCCAGCGTAAGAAATGTTTTTCATTCTCATAGTTTGTTTTTTCAACACAATCTTGATCATCCAGTATAAACTGAAACAGGTTTACATCTTTTAGTCATAATTAGATCTATCAAGCAAAGCCAAATAGTCATATATAAAGGCTATAAGTTGGTTTAAACAAAAGAATTATAGTATTGCAACCTTAGATTTCTGTGAGAAATCTTGCCCTGTGCCTTCTCTCTTGTTTCTTGCCACAGTTTCCAGGCCTGATCCCAGACCTCCTGGATTAGTAATTATTTATGATTTATAATACAGCTCAAAAGGAATTGTTTCTATTTTGATAGGCATACTGTATGACATGGTTAAAATACTCTTATAATAATTATTCCTTTCTGCTTAATTTTGTACATAATGGTCATAAGTAAATACAGTAAGCATTCCTATGTATCCCTTCTTTCCTCACATTTGCACCCTGTTCCTGCCTTTCTTGCTGGCCTGGCCTCCTGCTTTGCTTAGCATCAGCCTCCTTGGTCTCCATTGTTGCTTCTCTGTTTATGTCCAGCATAGATGATTTAAATCAGCCTCTGAGCCTGGGAAGCAGCAGAGGTCTGAGGTCATTTTAGATGCACATAGAATCTGTCTGTGAATTTGTACCTGTGTCAGAAATGTAAAGACTAATCGTTTGGTTTTTTTCTATGTACGTAGACTGAGTAGGTTATTCTAGAGGCATCTGCGTGGTACAGTAGACTTGGAATGAGAAAGACCCCACTCCAAATCCTGCCATAGACATTAAACTAACTGTATGATCCCAGGCAAGTCGTTGTACCTCTCTCAGCCTCAATTTCCTTATCTTTTTTTGTTGTTAAGTCACTTCAGTTGTGCCCAGGTCTTCAAGACCTCATTTGGGATTTTCTTGCCAAAGATTCTAGAGTAGTTTTCCTTCTCCAGCTCATTTTACAGATGAGGAGACTGAGGCAAGCAGGGTTAAGTGACTTGGCCTGGGTCACATAGCTAGTAAGTTTCTGAGGCCAGATTTGAATTCAGGTCTTCCTGACTCCAGGCCTGGCACTCTATCCACTGTGCCACCTTGGTGCCCTTTCCTTATCTTTAGAATAGGCATAATAATATCACCTACCTCACAGGATTATTATATCAAATGAGAAAATATCTAAAGTTATTTAACATTTCTTAAGTGCTGTATGTAAATGCTAGAGCTAGATGATGATGATATTCTACTTGAAATAGGTGGCCGAGTAAGATAAAGACAAAACAGGTAACATTACAGGGGGACTGCTATTGGTTATGCCATGTGATAACCCTGTGCAGCAAGGATTTTCAGGCAGTGTAACTGAAAAGTTTTTATTTATTTGGGTCATCTTGCATGCCAAGATGTTGATCGTTTGATCTGGGAAACTTTGTCCTTCAAACCTCACCAGAATTGCATAGCACAATATATCCCACCCCCAGTCCCCCAGTTATTCCTTGGAAGTCAGTGAGAGTTCTCTGCACTCTAGACTCTAGGGTCCTGTTCATTAAAAGGATTTGAACATGATACAGTGTTTTTATAGTAGTAATAAGTCTTTGAAGATTGAGAGAGTGAGAATAGAAAATTCATGAAGACCAATTAATAGCAAAAGACCTCAGTAAGTCTACTTTGCTAAATGTGTTTGTAAATAAAGACTTTGGTGTTGTACCTAACAAATGCTGCATGGTGACCTTCTGTATCGTCTTATTGTCTTTTAATCCACTTTTTGCCTGTCCTTTGGTCTGCTCTCATAATCAAGGATCCAGATCTGCTAATCCTGCTGGTGGTAAGACATTTCTCTTGTTGCTTTTATGTGTCCCCCCCATCCCAAAACCCTTGCATAATATCCATGCATCCCCAATGCCTTACATAAGACCTTTGTCTCTCTGTTTCTCTGTCCCTCTCTCTCTCCCCACATTTCTCATAGTTTTCCAATGTATTTGAATTTGAGTTGGAAAACTTTTTTCCCCAATAAGATAATGGTTTAAATATTTGGGTTGTTCTTGGTGACACTTACAACTTAAAAGGATAACTACTTGATAATGGGGTAGATTATCATTAATAACATCTCTTGTTCTTTGCAATGAAATTGAATTGTGAATTTTTCAGTATTTAAGAGTATTCATTTTGAGAGCAAGCATTGAAAATGATTTGAATGATAGTAAATAGTTGCCTGCACAGAGAGGTTTCTTTTTTTTTTTCCTTTCGGTTTGCCATATGTTATGTCTCACCATGCCAAGAACCATGAATACAGAAGTTTCTTTCCTCTTTTACTGTAAAGGCAAAATAATTTTAAGACTTCCATGTTATTATGTCTCTTGATATCCTCCCACCCCTTTTCCTTTATAAACATGCTTTGAAAAGTATAGGGTTGTAAAGAAGGCAAATTACTCATCTTTTGTTTTAGTATAGCAGCAGTTGTTTAATACTGTGCAGAATTATTTTAGGCACTGAGCTAGCTTACTGGTAATGAAAAATGAAACTTTTACATATGACCCTTCAAGGGTTTGGGCCCAAATGGTGCTTCCTAACAACCTTCATAAGTCATTGCTGTTTATTCATTTCCTTTGAGCATTTCTTTCTCTCCTTCCTTTTTAGCTGGCAGCCGATCAAGCTCCCCAGGAAAACTGTTGGGAACTTATGGTGGACTCACAGGAGGATCTGCCAGGGGTACCCCTGTGCCCTCATCCTCAGATAAACGGAGCAAGATCCCGAGGAGTCAGGGATGTAGTCGAGAAACAAGTCCTAGCCGCTTGGGGGGACAAGGTAAGATTCTCAGAGGTTATCCTGGAGCACTATTCTTCACAAAGTAAGATTGCCAACCCTGGGAAAAGATCTCTTTATTTGACTACAAAGTACTTTAACTATCAAAAAGATTGCTTCACTTTTATTTTGTGTTTTAATAGAGGATATTTACATTACATCTTGAACTAACTGATGCATAGGTCCTTTTTTTTTTAAGGTTATCTTAATATCTCCATTCTTTTATAGGTATGTATAGACCAAGGGAAAAAAGTGCCATCAATCTAGTGATGTAACTTCATTTTTTAATCATTACTTTTCAAAGAATTTGACTTTTTAGTTCTTTTCAGACTTTCTCTCCTTACAGTTTGTTTTACCACAAAACAAAATTTACGTTCTTTAGAGCAGTTTTTGTAAGTTGCAGAAATGTTTGATTTTGGTCTTTCTTTAAAACCTGTAATATTTTCTTTTTAAAAATTTTGACCATCCGATGCAGAAAACAACCAAGACAGGTGTGTTACTAAGGCACAGAATATTCCTTCTTGCAAATTAAGGGTAGACCTTTTTTGTTGTATGTATGTCTTTGAGGTTACATAGTCTCCTTTCATTGTTTATAGACTTTTAAGAATTACTTAAGAAACTGTTCTCTTATAGTTTGTAACATTGTTTACTTTCAAAAAAAGCTTGGATACTTTATATAGAATGTCTTATGGAATTGTTATATCAGGTCTCATTTTTTATTTTATATGTGTAAGTATTTCCAAGGTCAAAGCCTTATTTTTTAATCAGAACACTTCATTTATAAATATGCATGTTTTTTTCCTCTTTCTCCACTAGAAGTTAGAGTTCGAATTAACATTCCAGTTGCACTTTAAAAATTACAAGGCAGCAAGAATACCAAGTAAAAAATGTAGCTTGTCAAGCAGCTCATTAGTCTAAAAAGTATCAGCTGTGTTGACTGATTTTTGTTAACTGATTTAATATGTTTGGCTGTTTCTGTATATATAACTTTGGAGAAACTATAGCTAGAATGTAATTGTATATACTTATACTTCAAATCTGAAGCTGTTTTAAAATTCACGTGTTCAATATAGCTCTCTTTGCATCTGGTCTTTTTAAAGTGCTTCAGATTTTGGAAACTGCATCTGTTTTCATCAGGATAAAGTGAGTGTTTATGACATTTTCAGGCCTCAAAGATCTTTTCTGCAGTTAATTGACATGAAGTATAAAGATTAGTTTGCAATTTGTTAGTTTCTTGTTTAGTTTTTTAAAAGTTTCTTTCAATGGTTTGAATTCTCTTAATTTAATATTTAAACCTTTGGCGTTTTTGATTTGAACTGAATAACTCCACTCCTCTTGAATGTAGTAACTAATCTAACTCCTTATAAATTACTGGTTTCAAAAGACTTCTTCAAAAGCAACCTTTCCAAAGTGTTAAATGTTAAAAACATCTTTTGGTAGAAGTTGAGTTTCTTTGCCTTCATTTAGAGGCTAAGTAAGTTGCTGTGCCAAGCTCTCGTTTTATGAAGAACATCTATCCAAATTTCTAAGCACCATGGCTAATGTGTCATTCAATCGCTTTCTATCCATGTTATACCACTGATACATTCCACGTAGTTATACGCATCCCACTTTTTGAGTTCCTGTTGACATCTGAATCCTTAGTAAAGAAAGCAACTGTTTTCATCTCATTTACTGTAGTGACAGAAAATACTCCGGGTGTACACAATTTTGGATTATCACACAGTAAAGTAAAAGATAATTAGGTTAGTAGCAAAGTCTCCCACAGTTGCTAGAGTCTACCTGCTAGAAATGGTTTTATATTTACTTTTTATATTTTTTGTCTTTTTCTGTCTACATACCTGCCATTTCCTCTAAGTAGAATGTAAGCTCCTTGAGAGCAGGGACTGGTTTTTTTTTTCCTGTATACCAAACACTTAGCATTGTGCATGGCACAAAATAGATACTTAATAAGTGTATATCAATTCGATGAAATGAGCATTTTCTACTATCACTAAAGCTTTTTTACTCTAGTATTTTTGAGGATAGAAGTTGCAGGTTGAACTTAACATTGACAAAATAATTAATTGAGTCTTCTTATCTTGTTCCTTGAAGTATTTCTGTTTATATAATGAAACTATATAGCTATGTGTTAAATAAAAATTTCTTAATTAAGTACCTGCTTATACAAAATACTGTTCTAGTCACCAAAGGAGATAGAAGGTTTAAATACTGCTGTCCTTATTCTCATGGAGCTTGCAGTCTAGTAGAATAAGATATAAACACAGAATTCTACTATATAATATTCTATAAGTACATAGGAGACTTGCAAGATAATATACTATGTTAGGTCGTTTATTTTGGAGCTCTTTTCAACTGAAAAACAAAGGAAAACCCCCTTGATCAGGCTGTTGTAAAAGAAAAGAAAAAAATGCCTATTCGTTTTCATTTAAATTCTTGAATTCAAATACAGAACATATATACAATATGGACACACACACACACACACACACACACACACACATATATATGTTTCTTTTTTTTTTTTAGTAGTAGTATATTGCCATTTAAGTGGGGAACATCTGTGGCAATAATTTCTGAAACTTATTTCACCAGTTTTTTTCACCCTGGTATCTTTGAAAATATTTTTTATTGTTTCTGTTAATGATAAAACTACAAAATTCATACTTGATACTTGTATCACTTCTGAAGAGCCACAGTTCTGCATTTTAAATGATGCTTGATTTTATTTTTTTGGAAGGAAAATATTTTTAAATGATTTAATTTGAATTCATATTCTGGTTCTTATCACTTCACTTCAGTGTTCTTTAGTAATATTTATGTTATTACTTATTTTGAACTGCATTTTAAATTGAAGAAATTAGAACATTTTGTCTCTAAGACTTAGTTCTCATAATGTCGTGACTACCATAGGATCCTCCATGCTTTTGTTTTTTGGCATAATACTTGATGAGGAGAAGGACATTGAACCTAAAATACTAACTACAAACACAAAATTTCTGCTAAAGCACTTAATAGAGAGAAATCTTGAGAAAAATGATGGGGAGAATGAAATCTTCTTATTCTAAGTTTTTCATGTAAGTAACTAAAACACTAAAGTCTCAAAAATACTTTCAGAAAGTTCAAATTACAAATAAGTATTTTTTCATTACTGCTTTTTCTTTGTCTGACCCCAAACTTATTCTAGTACAGAAATATTCATATCGGCATTTAATGAAGACACAGAGAAATCATAATTTATTGGTCCCTGGTTTTGTCTCCTTCATTATATCCCTTCTTTTTAGAAAAGATTCTTTTTGAAGCACTTGGTCTCTAGATGTAATTTTATAAGTGTGAATGTATTGTACTTCATTTTATGTTGTCCAGTATCTAAACCATGATTTCATGTAAGATACATACATTTGCATGTGTGTGTGTATACATTTATATGTATGTATTATACACACGTATGTTTGTGCTTTTAGCATATTAAGGGAAAATTTCATGAAACTAAGAATCTAATCACATTTTCATATTGCCATCTCAAAAGTCGTTAATGAGTTTAATATTTAATTTCCTGCCATTTTATGAAACTCAAACCAGTGTGAATTAAATAATCTCTTTAACTCTCTGGCAAACTTATAAAAATTGAGGCTTTCTTTTAAATACATCTTACTACTCCTTCCTTAAGTTCAAAATATCACTCGTATTTTATTCATGCAAATATTGGTCCAGAAGAGAAAGGGTTAGGAATATCCATCATCGTATTATGAATGGCACAAGTGCCAATTGTCTGCTTCTGTGATAGCCTGATGCAAACATTTATGAGAAATAAATGGGCAGTCTATACAAGAAAATGCTCTACCAGGGATATATTTACTTGAAAAGTTAATCAAGCTAATAGGTCAGCTGTAGCAATGATACTGTTGTTGTGGCACTAATACTGTCCTGTTAAATGTTTTTGGTTTTTTGGGAAGACCTGGCTTACTGATCTTTCTGTGGATATCTTAGCATTTCTTCAGACATGTTCTTTACCCTTAGGGAAATTCCTCCAGAACAAGTTCAGGAGAAATTTGAGTCATGGAACAATATAAGTGAATTGTGTAAAGTTAGTCAGGGAGCCTGAATGGAACTGGTAATCATTACATTACTATGTAGGACCCTGAAAGAAAGCAGTATTTCTTCATCAAGAAGCTTATTATATATCTTGTGTCCTAAGTAAAATTCTTTAAATTTGTTCAGACATTTAATTTCGTAGTAACTGCTTTTCCAAATCAAAAGGCTCTTTGGAATGTTAGTTGGAATTGTAAAACAAAACAAAACATTATTACCACATCTTTGTGGAAGAATAAAATAGGGAATCAAGCAACAAGAGACTTCAGGTCAAAAAATTGTTGTTAACCAAAAGATCCACCTGTCCATTCTTCACTTTTCTTTACCTGTGGTTACCTAAGTTTTCCATAATAACTTGGATACCAACATAAAACAGAGTTTTATTTCAAAATGGGTGTTACAGGAAGATGGGATTTTGGAGGTTTTTTGCCACTTCAGTGCAGACTTGAGAGTTCTTTATTAGTGGCAAATTAGACTGCTTTGGAAAGCTGATTTTGCATTTCATTTCTTGGTTGTTTTTATCAAGGACCGCCAATCTTCTTGTTCATAGAACTTTCTCATTATGATTTCGGCCATCCAATTTATTTTGGGCTCTTTAAGTGTTGGAATAAGATACTAATACAGAAAATGTGGTTCTTTCTGCATTGATGAAACAAAATCCATTTGCAGAAACTGAGGCAGAGATGCTGTCCATTCTATTACAGTAGATATGTTACCAAAAAATTGGAATTTATATTCTGTAGTCAGGCTAACCCCAGGGTAAAATTACGAAGAGAGCAAAGTTTAACTTTGCCCTGCCACCCCCAAATCCTGAACATTCAGTAACCTTATACTGTCCTGACTGCTTAGGTCTTTTGCTGTGGTATTAATTGAGAAGAACTTATTTGGTAGAAACCTGTGAGTCTTTTCTCTGTTTTTAACCTCTTCCTGTTAAAGCTTTCCTGTTGGGTTTCTTATACTTCAGGTAGCTGCCCTTAGCTAGTGGTTGCTTGGAAAGGATCTTTTAAACTCGTTTTAGAGCTAGTAAGGTTAATGTGAGACCATTCTTGAATCATTTAAGGGAACAAATCTCTAATATTTTAATTTAAGGAACCAGTGCTGTGACTGCTGAAGGAATTTATATTCTAGGTGGTTGGTAAAGTGCTCTATGTTAAAGACTACCTATTCTGCCTACATATAGAATTGACCCTCTTATTCAATCTTTAGTCGAATGACACATGACTCCATGTGGAATATCTTTTCCAAAGTTTTTGACACAATGTATTTCTCTTTTCTTTGAGTTAAACTTGGAATCAAGCATCACTATTCTTTCTCTAGCTCTATTGCTGGTTTACTAGGTGACTCTGGGCTAATCTCTGTATAGCTCCCTACACTAATCCTTACTTGTTTTTGAATTAGAAAATGAGGATAATACTATGTCTCATCAGTCAACGTTTGTAGTGGTTGAATGTTTTCACACCGAAAGAGGGACCTTTTAAACACAAATCACTGTGCCTGTTGTAATCTCAGTGAATCCCTATTCTGTGGATCTTCACATATACTAAACTTGTAGTGAAAAGTTCACTCTTAATTAAGTCTTTTTCTTTCTTTTACATTATATCCAATTTAAAAAAAGACAAGAAAAAGAAAATTTTTTCTTCAGCCATATGGAGGAATAGGAGGGTGAATATTATTCTTAACTCTTTGCTGCCTTGAATTAAATAACTAAGTAGAATGCTTTCTCTTTCCAAAGTCCATAATGCTATCTGAAATAGAGCACAGTTCGTCAGTTGTATATCTCTTTGTGTCTTTTGTGTATAAAACAAGACATGTAGCTGGGATAACTTAGCTTATTTCTTGTAATGGGGACAAGTACATGAAGTTCAATAGCCAGGGACTTTATTTTTTCCTGAATAATAGTTGAGTACAACTAATTCTTTTGTGAGAAACAAACGTGCATGAAATCAGCTTTCTTTGTTCTTTTACTGAATTCAACAGTCATCAAAATTGGTGCTCCTCAGAAAAAATGCTTTTTTCGACCTTTTATCCCCTGACCACAGTTCATCTTCTAAAAATAACTCTCTTCATTTCATAAATTGAAATGTGAATTTAATTCTTATGATAAAAAAACACAATTTAAGGAACTGTGAATATATTTTAAACTCAAGCCTCCATATGATTGATTCAATAAATAGGAAACCTCAACCAAAAATGTAGATGGGTCTGCAAAATTCACTCGAAAGGAAGGAGCTTTTGGGAGTGATAATTAACAATGTCGTAATTACATTAACAGAATGTGACTTTTGTGTGTGTGAGCTTTTCTGTCCTCATTAAACTTGTTCACCTTCTCTGAAACTCTCCATGCTGCATGCTAGCACGGAGCAGCCGTATCCCTCGACCCAGCATGAGTCAGGGGTGCAGCCGCGATACCAGCCGTGAGAGCAGCCGAGATACAAGCCCTGCTCGGGGCTTCCCTCCACTGGGTGAGTACATGTAGGCACTGAAGTCTTTTAAGGCGGATGAGTCCCTGTTCCTGAGTCTGATTGCCTAGTCAGGATGCTCCTGCGTGGAATGACCTTGCTTTCTCTCCTTCTTCTCCCTGTGATCCTTTCTTCTCTTCTTTCCTCTTCCCTGGTTTACCCTTTGTCCTCCTCTGCATGCTTGAATTTTGACAACTTCTAATTTTCATGTATCAAGAAGAAAAAACACCACTTCAGTATATTTTGTCATTGACTACCAGCTAGCACCAGCTAAGCTCACTTGTACGGGCTATGATAAAAGTCAGCACATATGACTTGCTGACTTAAAAATTCATTTGCACCACTGATATTCAACGTTCTTGAAATTCATGACTCTAAAGTTTGGAAATCTGTAGTTTACTTGAATTTTACTGCCATTTCTTAAAACTAGTTTTGAAAAAGGGAAAAGATAGAATTTCAGCTACTTAGAAGACTGAAGTTTCTCTTGGTTAAAGGAGAAAGAACTTGAATGTAGTGAAAAAGCAGAGATGTCAGTCACTATTTTGACAAAGTGCCATTTCAAAGGATGTTTTCTTTAAGTCTTGCTATTTCAAGTTAGAGGCCTTGTAAGAGATTTGAAATCAGCTTACCCCACCCCCACCCCCCACCCCCCTGTCAACTTTAAATATGTAGTGTGAACATATAACTTGATAATGGTTTACTGGGCTCAGATAGTTGGTCCCGAGTGTGAATTTAAGATCCCATCTCATGCCACAGTTTGCTGTGAGTCTATGAGATTATAATCACTGGCTGTTCTGAGGTATATTGTTAGGTCAACAACTCATATTAGGAACACAGATGATCATGAGGGTTTCTTTCTTTACCAGTTCCTGTCGACTTTGATGGTTAGTCATTTTCTGGCTTCAGGGGAAAGGAGAGCACACAGGCATCTCCTGCAGCTCCTCTTGATTTTCTTCAAGTTTGTTTGCAGCCTATCTCCATTTTATTTTTGATTGTTTAAAAACTGAGCTATCCTTGCTTCATGTAGGAGGATTTACAGTGTCTTAAGTCAGGAATATTTCTTACTTGTTTAGAGCTATTTAGTATTTTAAAGGTTAAAAGCAATATGCAAATGAAAATATTAATGTTATAAATCTGAGGGACAATACTTACCAGTGTATAACAAGGCCCTTCTTTGAAATTAAATAATAAGAGTTCTGGACAGTAAAGATATTTTATAATTTATAACATTATCACTGTGTAATATGTAATTAAATGAAATAGGAAATTATTTGTAAGACTAGAAGTGTAATTTTACTATCTGCCTTTTCCTCAGAATCTTATAATGTACATATCTGCTGAAAGTCCCCCCCCCACTAATTTCTGCCTCCCCCCCCCCCCCCCGTAGTAGTCGGGAAATAAGGATGGGTTGTTGTGAACCAGTCAAGTAATCATATTTTAGTGTCTTCATCACTCTTTTCAGCCACACCATTTATTTCAACCTTTGTATAGTATGTCAAGTTTTGTAAAAGTAAAGTGACAAAATCCCTACTGTTGTCAGATTGATCATTTTATTCCAGTGATAAGACAGTCTAGTGGAAGGTGGTATGCAATACCATGTCAGATTAACATAATGAGATGTGAACACCCTTTACTGACCCTTAGTTGTTCACCAGGTTCACAATAGCTGGCTGATTCTTCAGCATGCTTGTGATGATGGATTTTTCTCAGCAATTCCGGCAGAAACAGTATTAACATTTTCTGAATGAACTGGTGGTTTTTCCTTTAAAATTGAGACTGTGTCCCTACTTCCCCCATTTTCTCACCCCCATCCCTGCTATATAGAAAATTTCCTGTTAAAATGTAAAAAATGCAATTGATTAGTTGAGATAAAACAGTTTGATTTTATTTTCTTTCCCCAACACCCCTTCCTTTCCTAATCTGCTGTTCTTCTGGGGTTAGTGTTGTGTGGATACTGCCTTGGTATAGCATGTGGTGTATAGACCAGACCAGGTACACTGAACATTTGAGGATAGGATTGGGCCTTGAATTCTTGGTGACATTCTGTATTTGTGTTTCACTTGATCTATTCAAATAGAAATGTTTAATCATCTCAATATGGTGAGGACACAGAATGAGCTATTTAAACCACTGTTGGTTTAGGATTGTCCTGACTGTGGCAGAAGATCTGCAACCAGCCATTTTCCTCCTTTGTTTTTTCCTAATGACCTATGAAATAAAAGCAAGAAGACTCCATGTACAGGGTGGCATTTCTGTCTTATACAGGCAGTTTGAGGTTTTTCTTCTGAACTAAGTTCTATGTATTTCTTCTCTGATAAGTTATTCCCATGAAATAGCATGTAAAAGTAGTTCCCTTTGCTGGACATTGCTGTACTTTGCTCATAGAATGTTCTTTTTTCCTCCTTTAACTCACTTGGATGAACATCATAAATTGTCCTTACCTTTTGACTATAGTCCACCATCTCATAAATTAGTCATGTGTAAAGCATTGGTAACACTATGATTGTCATTAGTTTGCACAACTATACTAGTTCAAAAAAATGAAATGTAAATCAGTGAACTTTATTTGTACTTCCTAAAAATCCATTTTACAGTTGACAGATTGATTTCAAGAATAATTTGGGAAATTTTCATGAATAGGGTTCCAGCGTTTGAGTACTTCACTAGGTGAAATTAAGTATATTGAATGTGCTTAAGTACATTGCAAACTCAGAATAATATGTGCACAGGTTGTAATCTCATATAAGGCAGCTCCATTTTTCAGTCTATCTGTGTGACTGTTTACTAAAGAGTCTAGCGTCTTATATGGGAGAAATTATGACTCCATTGTTATCTAAAATGTTAATTTCAGTTTTAAAAAATTGAGATTTGTATGTTTGATTCATAAGCATCACTATTCAGTCTGTCAGTTACTTAGACTCATCTTTTAAAAGGGTCAGTACTCAGCATTGCAAATTTAATTTGCTTTACTATTATCTATTTCCTAGAGAGACAGGATATTGTGTAAAGAAAATGTCAACAAGTAAATCATACTTTTTGGTCATACTGTCTTTATTAGTTAGTAACATGTTTTACTAGTATAAATATTTTATAAAATCTGACTTGTCATTTAAAATAGAATTCATAACAAAGAGTTCAATGTGATGCTATAAAAGTAATTGACAAATTGATAGGAATCAGTGCATATTATAAAAAACAATTAAAAGTAGAGGAAAATAGAACATACTACTGTTTTGTGGTTATTAAAATTATGAATTTCATATTTGTTAATTACTATACTTTTTTCAAGAGACAGTGTTGCGTAATGAATGGTAGGATATCCTTGAGGTCAAGAAAAGCTTGGTTTAAGTCTTGGCTCCAACACATACTAGCTAAGTGACAGCAGGCAAGTCAGTTAATCTTGCAGTACTCCAGTTAGTTTCTCTGAAACTTACGTGACAGACAAGTTGCCAAGTCAGCACTGATGGAGGTAGTTTCCATACTGGGAGTTCCACACACCAATTAAAAACTCAGGTACATCCCACCAAAAGAAAAGTGACTTAACAAACCATGATCAACATGTATGTTGAGTACTAGTTAACATTTAAAACTATTATGTGGTGAGGTCTCTTTTTACATGAAAGGGAAGTTCTTTTCTTCAGATGGATGAAGATTAATTTATTGCTAATGGATACTTGGCCATTAATTAATATTGCATCTAAATCAAACTGGAGTTAACAAGTCAAGCCTTCTATATTGGGGGAGAGGAAAACACTTTGACAACAAAAATTTTTGTTGATCCATATGATTTCTAAGCCTTAGTCTCTGACCCTTTTATTTTTAAACAATATTCAGTATTACCCCATTCCAGGAAAACAGAAGGATTTGGATAGGGCCCTTGCTGTGATTGTTATTCAAAACATGGGGAAAATTTTATTCAAATATGTGATTATGCTTTTTTCCCTTCATTGCGTTTTTGAACAAACATGCATTATTACAATTTTGTTTTTGGTGCATGGTTTCATATGCCTAAGTAGACCAATCAAATATATCTGCAAGCTGAGTCTATAATTCATTCTTTTGCTCTGTCACTTTGGGATTTAGATCGACTTTCTGAATCCCAGTATTCTCCAGTTCAGTGTTTCATATTTCCATAATGGCTGATGTAAACTTTGTGGAACAAACATAAACTTGGAGTCTCTGATTTTGGCTGAAAGACACCCAGGTTGGAACTCCTCAAAGAATGCCTTTGTCATGCTTTGTATGTTTGATAGCTGTGTTTAAGAAACTACATGGAGGTTTGAGAGACTGACAGTTGTTCATTCATATCCAACATCCATTTCTTTTCGCAAGAAGATATGCCAGTGTTGATAGTGGTCATATGCATTCCCTTTGGGCTGTGGCATTCTCTGTCTTGAGTACTTCTGTGTTAATCCTGTGGGTGTTGCCATTCCTTTTACCTGCAGCCTCTCGACGTCATTCCAGGTCCACTAGTGCTCTCTCCACTGCTGAATCTGTTGGGCAGTCAGGTGAACAAGTGCTAACTGCATGACTTGGCTTCTTCATACATTCTAGTTTTATGCCCATTTTAACATTTGCTTTCATCAGTGTCAGCTAGCACTTGGCATGTATGTACTTCATTTTTTTTAATGTGCTTTTCTGTTTTAAGTTGTTGAATGTCTATAGTTCTGTTTGTAGACCTTAGATACATTGTATCCTGTTTTATAATATCAGTTCTGCAATACTTTTCCTCATTTTAAAGACTAGGAAAATATCCACTCCTCTTCCTCAAAGATAATAACTAAAAATTCACTCACCTTGTTATCCTATACCAACAATTTCAAGAAGGAGGATTGATATAGACAAGTGACCTGAAAAGGTTTTTGTAGCTCTCATTTCTTGATTCCAAATAAAGTGGTGAAATTATCATTACTAGTTAATACTGTTTTCAAACTTCAAAAGCATTTTCAGTTAACTACTGAATTAATTTGATTCCCCTATTTATTGCTTATTCACCTACATATGTATGCCTAAATTATAAAAAAAAATAATAACAAAACAATAGATTGCTTTTGAGAGTTGTATGAAAAATAAGATTAAGATTTAGACAGGTAGGGATTGATGCTATTATCCTCCAGTCATTGATACTTCTAGGTCTATGGGTTTCTTTATTTAAATCCATCCATCAGCACATCTTATTATAACACTTAGCCTTAGGCCCAAAAGAAAAAGCACAATATAATGTATCGCTTTGCCCTTCTTCAAAAATCATTTAATATACAAATAGCCATTATCATAGACATTTCATCCATTATACAAACATGTATCATTTGAGAATAGAAATATCAAACATAGGCAAAAATCTACTAATTTTCCAACTTTTGGTAGATACTAGTAATAGAATTAGTAGGTAAAATATGTTGTGGTATCAAACCTAAGATTGTCTTTCCCTACTGGTAATGAATGAAGCAAGCAGCTTTTATAGCCATATATCTCAAAACACCGATTAACCAGAGACCAAGTTTCTTCAGCCTTTGACCATGGAAAAATTGGAAAGTAAGGCTTCCCCTTTTATCTATCAATTTCTATCACTGTTTTAGGCCCTTCATACTCTGAACAGGTTCAGTGATTACCTGAAGAGTGAGGGCCAGGTGGAGGTTATAATTATCCATACCTGCCTCTTAAGAAACTAGCGTTGCATGATAGGATATCAACCTCAGAAGGTAGCGAGTGTATATTCCAGTCAAGTGAAAGCAAAAACCCTAATTTTTTTCTCATGTGTCACATAATTATTTCTCCCTTCCCCCATTTAAAATATAAATAGGCTACAATAAATGCCAAATGATACGGAATCATTTTGTGTTTCTGTGCTGTATGCAGCTGGGAAGCACCATGTATTTTTATCAAATATTTGTATTTGAAAAATAAGGAGCATTCCTCAAGCAGGACACACCGGGATGAAGCCTCCTTAGGGTTTGGTTTGTTTAAAAGCTGGGTTTTGTTTGCTATGGCAGGTATTTTATAAATTGCTTACAATTGAATTTATTTCATTTTGTTATTCATAACCCCCCCACACTATCTACCCTTTTTTAACGTAGCAAGATACTGATTTAAAAAGGGATTTTGCTATCACATATGAAAATAGTCTAATCTTTGTTCAAAAGTTCTCACAAATTAAAGCTGTTTTGTCCTTGTGATGCATATGGTAGTGGGCAGAGGTATTTGATTGCCCTCATTAAATTGCCTTTTAAATAGAACATGTACAGTGTTACATATGATCAGAAAATGTGTTAAAAAAGGGGATAGTGTAACATAAATTTTTTATTTCCTTTTAATAATTCATGGTTGTATAACTTTTTTCTAGTAGCATTTAAGATTTTTTTTCTTTATGTGATGTCGCAAGTTAAATTAGAAAAAGTTTCAAATGTTCTATAATTTTATTTATGTAAAATATATAAATGAGTCTCCTAAGTAACACCTTAATTTAAAAATTAACAAGACTAGGCAGTGTATCAATATTTAGTTTAAATTTTGAAGTATGACATTTCCCATTAAGATCAGATGATGTAATAAAAAAGTCATCTTCCCTTTGACATAAAAATGTTCATTTTTCAGGATATTGCTGATACAGATTAATTATTAAACACTTTAAATTAAACACTTTAAATGTTAGCCTTATCTTTCAAAGCTCTTTATAATAAAATTAAATTGAAACATTTTCACCATTGCATAAAACTCAACTAAACTGTTAATTTCTATGTCTAATGACTTAAGCTCCAGTACTTTATTGTTGGGTTCTTTTCAACTGATTTCATGGGTACAGTCACCTTTAAAAAAAGAAAAGTTGACTTCATTTTCCATGATAATTAGTAATAGCTTTTTGAGTAGTTGAAACTTTGTTTTAAAATCAAATTCCTAGAACTGTTTCAGTTAGTCTTATACCTGTCTCTGTGAAACACAGTGTTCATAATACCATACTTGAGGTAAAATTGATACTGAAAGTTAGCTGAACAATGAGATTTTTTTTGTTTGTCCTTTATAGTGGAGTTAATGATTTTGATATGATTATTCGAAAAGGGAAAATCTCTGATCAGTTTGCTGGATTTCTTGGTGGAGAAGATAGTGTGAGTACAACCCGGTGTGCCATAAGCCATTCAGCAAACATCAGTTGAGGATTTACTGTGCAAAAGGCACAGTGCCAGGTCTGAAAAGAAACATAGCCCATGCCTCTGAGGAACTAACATCCTAATAAGTGGAATGAGATACAAACACAAATTACATATGATATAAAATAAGGGCAAAGGAGAGGTCACTTTCAGGGAAGGCTCTGGAGGAAGTGGCACCTGAGCTAGTCTGAATGAAGAGAACAATTTCAACAGGCATCAAGTGTCTGTGCAAATAATTCAGTCTAGCAGTTGGGAATGGTCAGAGTAGGTGAACAGTGTGGGTGTGAGGGTCATGTGAGCTAACTGAGCAGGTGCCTGCTGATTGGCATAAGCATAAAGCACCTGACAAGGATGATAGGATTGTAACTTAAAGTTTGAAGGAACCTCAGAGGTCATCAAGCTCAGTCTAAGGTTTGGAGGTGAAGAAAATGAGACCCTGACAAGGTCAAATGACTTGGACAAAGACCCATGTAAAAAATTGTAGGTCTGGGATTCAAATCCAGGCCAGAAACCGGTGCTCTTCTCACCATTCCACAGTGAAAAAAGATTTATAAGGTGGTTCCACACCAGATTATACCAAAGAATTCTTTTTCCTCACCCATGTAGGGAATGGAGATTAATTGAAATATTTAACAGAGAGCAACATATAGTTACTTCTAATGTAATAAGCTTTAAGAAAGGTATTTGGCATCAAGGTGGGGGAAGTGGACCAAGGGACACATGGTGCAGGCAGTATGTGTAGGAGGAGATCGAAGAAATTCTGTAGAGGTAGAATAAACAGAGCATGGCGATTGACTGGATAAAGGAGGGTGAGAGAGAGAGAGAGAGCCAAATGAAGGATGACTTCAGGCTTTAGAACCTGGGTAACTGGGAGGAGAGTGGTGTTTTCAGCAGAGATGAGGAGAGCAGTTTTAGAAGGTGATAAATTCAGTTTGGGGCATATTTAATTGGAGTGTGATAGTGAGACCATTCAGTAGGCATTTGGCAGTGGAGCGCTGGAGATTAAGGCTAGATTTGAGTCATTTGTACAGAGGTGATGAGTGAAGGTATTCTAGAATGTGAGGTCATGGAGGACAGGGTTGAGAGAGAGAAGAGAAGAAAGCCTAGGACAGAACCTTGAGGGACAACCACAATTAGGGGTCAAGAGGTAGAAGATGAGCAATCAGCAGATTGAGAGATAGGGGAAGCAGGATAAAACTGTCACAGAAACCAGCTTGGGAAAGAATATCAAGAAGAAAGTGTTCAACAGTGTCAAATGTAGAAGAAGGACAAAGAGGATTAGAACTGAGAAAATACCTTTGTATTTTGACAAGTTGTTTTAAGAGCATAGAAAAAGTAGTTTCTATAGAATGATGATGACAGATTTTAAATGGGCTGAGGGAAGGGGGGTGTGGTGAAAAGTGGAGTTAGTAAATATAAGTGAAAAGAGTGGGTTTAGCAAGTTCTAGGAAAGGTGCTTTTAGGATAGGAGAAACTTAAGTGTTCTTGTAGGCAGAGGAGGAGAAACAATAGAAAATGACAGATTGTAGGTAGACATGAAAGTGGGGTAGGTAGGGAATTAGTTTGTGAAGTAAGGTCCCAGAGGAGTCAAAAGGGAATGGGGATCCATACCACAAGGGGCTTAACATTACTGGCTTTGTCCAGTATTAATGAGTTTGATTAATACCAATTAAACAACAAGGACTATAATGAAACTCTCTACAGAGAGATCAATTTAGTCTACATCTCATTATTTTTTTTGCACTTGCTACAGTAGAATTTGTTAATTTGTGAAGCTTAAAATTGAATAGCAGTACCAAATAACAGAACTCCCTGATCCTTCAGGTAAAGATAAATAGCTTAAAAGATTTGTAAAATCCACACCCTCCCTTCCACAATCTAAGTAAACTGTCCCCAAATTTTCCAGTAACAATATATTTAGATACCAGTTCATTCTAGCTATCATTTAAGAGACAGTTGCAGCATAGTAGTTAAATTTGAGCAGTGGTATAAAAATACCTTAATTTAGTTAAATTTGACAGTCAGTAGGGCTCTTCAGGGCCCATGTTCTGATTGCTGGGGAAGGCATGGTTGCCTGCGAGTAATTCAGAGGAAATGTGAATTAACTGAACAGAGTTGTTTTGCTTTTGTTTTTCTGCGTAGATCGGTTTGGGCTTGGGCAACCGGGAAGGATACCTGGTTCTGTCAATGCTATGCGAGTTCTAAGTACAAGCACAGATCTGGAAGCAGCTGTAGCTGATGCCCTGGTAAGAGGGACAGTAGACACCCTACCAGGTGACCAAATGTCACTATTTATTGATTGTTCAGATATGTGTTCTTTTTTTTCATTGTAGGTAATACCAGTAAGTGAATTGATAGCTCAAAGATGTGAACTTGTATTTAGCATTTTTAAATTTGTCTTATTGAACAAGTATGCAAATCTTTATTGTAGATTTCTTTTTCTCTTACTTTACATCCTGTACTTAGGCATTGATAAAAAGTGATCTGCTAGAAGTTAATAGGATTGGGTAATTCTTTGCTGCTTTCCTGCCCAGCCAGTGGAGGTTTGATGACATCGTGCTCCTAGGAGAAGGGTTGTTAGTTTTTTCTTTACCTTTTATATCCCTAACACACCTTCAGTTTTTCTTTGCCTCTGCTATATTGCTCCATTTTCAGTCATGAGCAAAATTTTTGGCATGGTCTAAACATAGTGCATTAATAGGTACTCAGTCCTGTTGCCCACTCTTGTTATAGTGTGAGAAATACAACATTGATGCCCTCACTTATTTTCACATAATTTTTATTTTTCAAAAATGGTATTATGAAAAGGGACCTCAGTATACTGTGGGAACAACTTAAACTAGATATTTTTATTAGAGAATAGAAGCACTTAAAATATTTTATTTTAAATCTTAGGGTAAAGTGGAGAGAGAAACTTTAGAGGACTTTTAATCTATTAACACATACTTGGTGGAATCCATTTGTTGTCAGATTGGTTTTAAAAGACTCATTTCATCCAGGAGTAAGACTCTTGTGCATTCTGGTTTACGTGCTCAGCATTTGAAATAAAATTTTTTTAAGAGCCATCTGATTTCAAACCTTGTATTTTTCCTGTTTTATATATATATATATTGTTTAAAAAACTGTAATTTTTAATCCAGCCTTGTCGTTATCCAGTTCAAATTTGACAATGGATTGATGCTAGAAATCCACATTTATCTCTTTAGATTTTCTCTTTTCATTCATTCTTGTTTGATCCAGCCTATCTGCACACAAGTAGTTTGCAACTCCAATAATGCCTTCCTTGTAGGGAAGGATTGCAAGGTCAGCTTTTATTCAGCAGTCTTGCATATAGAAAGGCAGTTTTCTGGCAAGTGCTGGAAATGAGAGAGATTGCTGTAAAGATGGCTTTATCCCAGAAGTCAAGAACTGGAGCAAAAGGCTAGGAAATTGGTTCCTGATCCAAGTCAGGAGCTTTTGGACCCTATCCCTTATTTATTCAGAGATCCTGGGGGAAAGTTGAGGGATGGGGGAGGGGTGGTGGTGAAGGGATAGTGAATAAAAGACATTACAAAAACTTAGTTAAATGGACTTCTTGTGATGGAGGCGTACCCTTACTCCCTTTAAACAGTTTCCTAAGGGATTATCTGCAAAGTTCTGAGAGCCTGAATCAGACTTGAGAGATGCAGCTACAGCTTCATTTTCCATAGAACTCTACCTTCTAGTCAGCTAGCGCTGTAAATCAGATCTTGAATGTAATGGCCCTCTGAGCTGTATCTTTTTTTGGGTGGCCAAACCAGTTGATTTCTCAGTGTATCCTGTATCAGAGAAGGAAAAAGCCACAAGAATGGTATAGGACTCATCACAAATATAATTTTCTTACCATGGGTATATACCATATACCATGGAAGTTAAACTGTTTAGATAAAATCATTTTTAAGAATTAATTTTGGGGGTGGGTAGCATTTTTGGCAGTGGGAGGTCTAGGAAGAGGGCATAGGACTAGTAGAGAATGCCATTTTGAAACCATTTTTGTTATTATTTGCTTGATTTAAAACACCTGCTGACCTGTGTTTTTTTAATTTGCTAAGATACATTTTGCTGTATATTTTTGTTGCAAGAAGAACCCCTACATAAGCTTCTGACATAATTCTCTATGCTTTTTCCCCATCCTTCAATATTTTCCTGCCTACAGCTATTAGGAGACTCCAGGAGCAAGGTACTAGTGCTTTGTTGACTTTTCTGTTTGTTTGGATTTTTTTAGCCTTTTTTTTTCAGTTGCAAGAATTTATAATTCTGGGATTGTTAAAAGGAAAGAAAAAAATTCAGTATGAGCATACTTGTTATAAATGTGTAATTTTGTGATGATTTGATGATTATCACTTGTAGTTCATGTTGTTTTGTTTTAGCATTTATTCTAAGATATTGAACTCTGTTCTTGCAACTGTTAGTGATTAGTTTTTGTATATTAACCTATTGCTTGCTTATGCTTATGTCATCATTATCTCATGAACACAATCTTATATTCTTCATAGTTTAATATTTGCCTTGATGTAAAAATCATATTGTCAGATGACTAGTATTTGGAAATTTCAGGTCAGAATCATTCATTTCTTTCCCTGTAGAGAAAATTTGCATCTTATCACAACATGGCTGAGTATGTTACATGCTATGTTATATAGTATGTGGCTGTAGGATGCTAAAGAAAGTACCAGAAGAATCATGAAACAAAGAATTTTTTAAAAATCTTCCCCACTGTTGCAGAATTGATTTGTTTATATCCTTTATACTATAGTAGACCCACATAATTTAAGAAACCTTTTGAGATGATCTCTGAGACTGCATTCAGCTAAAATGTCCCAAGAATCCTTGTGAAGATGGAACAGTTTTTCCACAGACCGTGCCATCGTATATCATATTTCACCTTTTACTGCCCAGAAGTATGTTGTTGTTCAGTTGTACCGAAGGAGACCTTCACTACTTTTATTTTCTAATCTATTGGCAGTAGAGGAAAATATTAGCATATTTTCCCTGGTTTTCTTCCTTTGATGTGAAGCTGAATTTTGTTTTGTTTAACTGAATATGCCATTCTCACTACCACTCAACCTCCATCTCTTTTCTCAATCTCCACCAACCCAATCTGGGTCATGGCAGAAAAAGCCAGTGAGGAGAAGATATGAACCATATGGGATGTATTCTGATGATGATGCTAACAGTGATGCGTCAAGTGTTTGTTCTGAGCGTTCTTATGGCTCCAGAAATGGTGGGATTCCTCACTACCTACGACAAACAGAAGATGTAGCAGAGGTTCTAAACCACTGTGCTAGTTCAAACTGGTCTGAAAGAAAAGAAGGACTTCTTGGACTGCAGAACTTACTGAAGAGCCAAAGAACACTAAGGTGAGTGCGAGAGGTGTGCCACGATAGAATTAGGAACTCAAATGAGTGAAATAATGAGGTGTTCAGCTTTAAGGACTGGTGATTTTATTAGTATGACTATTTCCTGCATCTGTGTACATCACATTGCATGCCTTTGTAGAAGGTCTTCAGATTTGGTATAATCTGGGAGATAGGTATTACTTGTTCATATTTCTTCTATCTCCTCCGAACTTAGTTTGATTGATCCTTAGGCAATACCAACGTCAGACCTATACTCTTAGACCCTTTCTGGTTTGTTAGGACCTGGTAGAACCTTCAAGAACGGTGGGTAGGACTTCAGTGGAAGATGTTACACTTTGGTAGTTTTAAAACATATGTACCTTTATTTCTGGTTTGAAATGCTACTCTTAAGTGTTTGGTTTTTTCCTTTCTTTTGATAAAACCTTGTTTTGGTTTGTATTCAAGAGGGGAAAGCCATCGACACTTTCAGGGTTTATTAAATTGGTATATTCATATCAGTTTGGGGTTCGTCATTTTGGAAAGTTGCCCAAATTAATTCAAACCAAGGGTCAGATTAACTGCTTATGTTAGAATGCCATTGTCCTTGATGAAATGTTTGAAATCATAGTTGGTTTTTATGATTGTAGCCATGGTGACACACCCGCTTAAGGGCAGTGAGAGTCAAAACCAATTTCTGCACCATGTCATCAGAGATACTGTAGGTTTAGTCTGTGCGTTGACGTGGGATCCAATGAAGCTACCTTATAGTAAATATATTAAAAATATGGACGAGGTATTGGCAATTTGTTTCAGTTGTTTATTGACCCAAGACATATGTTCCATGGGAAGGAAAACATTTCATTTATATTCAGTAAGAGATTAGATTACATGAAGACATTGAGACTGAACCTTTATTTAAATGAAACAATGACGTCTTCAGAATTTATTACTTAAATTATGTTTGCTTTGGGGTATATTTCTTTAATATCCAATTCCTCCTCCATTTTTAGTAGGGTACCCATTATTTTTTGGGGGGTACCCATTATTTTCAGAGAATTTACCCTCTTGGCTCTTTAAATAGGAATAGCCTTACCAGTATAGATTCCTATAGTAAACCTCCTAGACATGGTCCAAGACTTGTTTTATAGGCTTGGGCACATCATTACATTTTGTGACATAATATTTCCCATCATACCTACAAGTGAGATAAATAAATTTGGCTGTGCTTTGAGTGAAGTGCTCTGTTCAAGGGGTAAAGTACTGTTTTTTTTCTTTTTTTAAAATTTTATTAATTTATTTTGATTTATCAACAATCACTTCCATATGCTTTTGAGCTGAAAATTTTTCTCCCCCTTCCTCCCTCTCACCCCACCCAAGATGGCACACAATCTGATATAGGCTTTACATTTACATTCCTATTAAACATATTTTCACATTAGTGAAGTTGTAAGTAAAAATTAAAACCAATAGGAGGAGCCATCAGAAAGATGAAACAAAACTCAGCAGAAGGTAAAAATAAGTGATAGCAATTCAACTTCCATAGTTCTTTCTTTGGATGTGGACAGCATTTTCCATCCTGAGGCCTCTGGAGATGTCTTAGATCCTTATAATGCTGAGAAGGGTTCAGTTTAACAATATTAGTCATTGCATGGCGTGGCTGTTATTGTGTACAAAGTCCTCTTGGTGTTGCTGATAAAGTACTGTTTAAAGGAGGAAAGAGTCATGATTGTAGGCTGTTGTAGCAAGAGAAAGCAGAATACTCAAAAATCAAGATTTGAGTTCAAATCTTGGCTTTGTACCTAAATAGTGTTGTGATTTCTGAGGAACTCACAACCCCTTTTTTTAAATCTTCCTTATCCAACAAGGAAGTTGGACAGCATGATCTCTTAATATTCCTTCTACTTCTTACCTTCCAGGATTTTATAAAAGGAGGCATCAGCAGTCATTTCATCACTCACACAGTCACAAATTACTGAGTATCTGCCGTGCCTCGGAGGGGTACAAAAGAAGTAGGCAACATAAAATTGGAAAATATTTCCAAGATTATATGTAAATGAAGTTTATGGTAATTCTGTTATATTATTTTAGAGAAAAAACCTTTAGAAAAACTCATGTAGCAAAGAACCTACCTAATACAGAAATCCTCTCTTCAGTTAGATATTCCTCCCAAAATGTTACCTAACTTTTTCTTGTCACTTCCACAGTAATGGGAAACTCACTGCCTTATAAGATAAACTCATTCAATTTTTTAACTGGCTAAATATTGTTTTGATAAAGCATACAAATGCCAGCTAACTCCTTTTTTCTTTTGCTTTGTTATTTTTAGCATTCTTTTCTTTTTAAATTTTGAATTCCAAATTCTCTCTCCCTCACACCCTTCTCCTACCCACTAAGAAGGCAAACAATATATCAGTCATCCATATGAAATCGTGCAAAACATTCCCATGTTAACCATATTAAAAAAAAAAACAGCAAGAAAGTGAGAAAATTATACTTCAGGCTGCATTCCTCCGATTCTCTCTCTAGAGGTGGATAGTGTTTTTTACATCATGAATCCTTTGGCATTGTCTTGGATCACAGTAGCCAAGTCTTTCAAAGTTGACTGTCATTACAGATTTTCATGACCACCTCCTACTTCTTTTCACTTCACTTTGCATCAGTTCATATAGGTCTTGCCATGTTTTTCTGAAATCACCCTTCTTTGTCATTTCCCACAGCACAATAGTACTCCATCACAATAATATGCTACAACTTGTTCAGTCATTCCCCAATTAATTAGAACCTCCTCAGTTTCCAGTTCTTTGTCATCATGAAAAGAGCTGCTATAAATATTTTGTATGTCCTTTTCATTTTTCTTTGATATACAGACCTCACAGGGGTATTGTAGTTTTATAGCCCTTTAGGCCTAGTTCCAAATTATTCTCCAGAATGGTTGGACCAGTTTACTACTCCACCAGCAATTCATTAGTGTACCTATTTTTCCCTCATCTCCTCTAGCATTTGTCATTTATGACAAGTGTGAAGTGTACCTTTTAATTTTGTTTTAATTTGTTTTATAATTTTGTTGTAAAAAGTGGTTTCTTTAATCAGTAGTGATTTAGATTTTTTTTCATATAACTATGGATAACTTTGATTTCTTCATCTGAAAATTACTTGTGTATATAGCCTTTGACCATTTGTGAATTATGGAATGGCTCTTATTTTTATAAATTTGACTTAGTTCCATACTCATTATATATTTGAGAAATGAAGACTTTATCAGAAAAACTTGCTGTAAAATTATGGCTGTGGTGCATATTAACAAGATGTAGTTTCCCTCATTATCTTTTTAAGTAGATCTGTTTTTACTTTTGCTTTGTCAGAGTTCATGATTGCTACCCCTGTCTTTTTTTAGTTTAGCCGATGCATGTTAGATTCTGCTCTAGCCCTTTATTTCATTTCTGTATGTGTCTTTCTGTTTCAAATGTGTCTCTTGTAAACAACAAATTGTTGGATTCTGGTTTCTGATGCATTCTGCTATCTACTTCTGTTTTGTGAGTGATCTCATCCCATTCAACACAGTTATGATTACTGTGTTTTTTCCTCCATCCCGTTTCCTTCAGTTTCTTTTTCTCTCTCTTTTTATACTTTCCCTCCTCACAAGTCTATTTTGCTTCTAACCACTGCCTCCCTTAATCTGTCTTCTCTTTTTTAGCGTCTTCCCCCCACTCCTTTCTTTTATCTTCATCTACTACTTCCCTGTTGGGGAAGTTACATTTCCGTACACAACTGAATGTGTAGATATATTCTTCCCTCTTTGAACCAATTCCAGTGTGAGGTTTCAAGCTTTGCCTGTACTCCCTCCCTCATTTTCCTGTCCACTGTAAAAGCTCTATCTTGTGCACCTGTTTTACATGAGAAAATTTTCCCCATTTTACCTCTCCCTCCCAATGAACTCCTAATTAGACACCCAAAATATTCATTCCTCCTCCAAAACAGTGAAAAAAACCCCAACATAATAGAGTGACCAATCCTTTTTCTTACTGCTTTGATTGTTCTTTCTTTATTGTCCCAAATATTGAACCAAGATCTGTTGCCTTACAATTTTTATCTACTGGTAAATCACATCTTGAGCTATTGAAATCTCAAGTATTGATGTCATCATCTATTACATTAACTATCCCTGGCAGCTTTGTGTCAACTACAGGCCATCTATGTCTTCATTCAGATAATTAATTACAACTATTGATAGGACCCTTTGACATACCACCAGATAATTAACTTCAGGTTGAAGTTGACCCATTAATCTCTACTTTTTGTGTTTCAAACAGCTGTGAATCCACCTGAGAGTAGTAACTTCCAAGCTATATTTGCTCCTGTATGAGCTTGTTATGGACAAATAATATCCTTTGCAGAGAGCACTTTATTAAATGTCGTACTAAATTCAAGATATACTATGCAGATTAGACTCTATCCACCGATCTATATTAATCAGGTAAAAAAGGGAAATGACCAAAGTTCATTTGACTTCTTAATGAACCAATGTTGACTTCTGGCGTTGGTCCTGAATAGGTTTTCTGTGTAGGTTGGCAATTCATAGTACCAGTGGAAGCATTTCAGAGTAGGGCCAAGGCCACCTGGTTGATGGCAGAGTAAGAGCTCTATCTTGTCTGTAAAAAGCCTCAAATGACAAGGTATATATCTGTATAGGTGGACTGAATAGAGATTGGTTTTTGAGGGCAGAGATGGAATCGGAATTAAGGGCCTAAACTTAATTGAAAGAGGAAAGGATGCTAGCAGTTCAAAGAGTTTGAAAGCAATTGCCATCCTCATTTAGATGTGAATTGCCTTTAAGTTTTTATAATTTAGTCATATTCGTTTGTTTTTCTGATGGGCTTCAATTGACATAGATTCTGGTTCACCTCATTTGCCTGAATGGGAGCCATCCCATATAACAAATCATTGTTTTGTTGTGTTTTGTTTTTAAGATAGGAAACGAAGAAGTAAAAAAAAAATCAGCAAAAATACATTAAAAAAAGTCTGCTAATAAGTTCAGTGTGCAACACTTATGGACTTCTCACCTCTACAAAGGGCTGAGGTGGGATTGTCTTCTCTTAGATCATCTTTCAAGCCATGCTTATTTATTATGATTTTGCATTATTCGCTTTTGACTTGTGTGTGTGGGGGGGGTTCTTTCTGTTTACATTGCTGTATTAGTCATTGTATATGTTATTTTCTTGGCTCTTCCACAGTTTGTTTAGTCATTCCTCGGTCTACTTTGTTTCTAATTCTTTGTTATCACAAAAAGTGCTAGTTATAAATATTTTGGTGTAAACAGAGAATTTCTTTTTATGAATGGCCTCCTTGAAGTAATAAAATCTCTTGATCAAAGGGTGTGGAAATTTTAGTCACACTTTTCATAATTTCAGCTTCTTTTTTTTTTTTACAAAATGGTTTTTACTGATTCATAGCTCCACCAACAATGCACTGATGTGACTGTGAGAAACAAGTTTATTAAAAGGCACAACAGACAACTCCTAGTGTGCCTCACTTTCTTTCAAATGTTTTTAATCTTTTCTGTAATTTTGATAGTATTCAACTTCAGCCTGAAGTGATATTGTTGTAGTTTTATTTTCATTATCTTTCGAAGTGTTTCAGAACCAACTATCCCTGATCCATTTTGATGTATTAGAGAATAGACATATGTAAACTATTTAGAAGGCCAAAAGATGTAGAATAAGCACTAAACTGAGGCAGGGGGCCTTCATGGTTATTTAAGTTGTCAGTGACTATATCTGTAGCTCTAGGAACATCACTTGACCTCTCTGGGCCTTGGTTCATTTTCTTATTTTTCAAATAAAGAGGTTGAATTAGATGACCCAAAGTCCTTTTACCTCTGTAAAGTTTAATATTTAGAGCAGAGATAGCCATAAATTGAGAATTTTGGTTTCTTTATGATCTGTGAAAGCTGACACTTGCAGTCAGGTGGCTTTGAACAATGAATGTTTCCTGCTTTCTGCTTGTATCCAAGATTCCCTCTGATTTTAGTAAACTAATGACCTCTCAGAATCCATTAGGCTCTTTTAAGCGTAGCTTTCAAGGTAAGCTAGTATGAAATTTCTGTCAAATCAGTGTATGCCAGAAGAATTAATACTCTTGTTTTGTAAGTAATTTTTGAAGTGACTTCAGCTCTCTGCTGATAATCAAAATCAGTTCATTACAAACCATGAGTTCAACTGCAGGGCGGCCCATACAGTTTTCATGCTATTCTAATGAGGTGCTGAAATGATGACTAAATAGATAACAGCCAACCAAGTGCTTCAGGGGCCCAGGAATAAACCCCTTGCCTGGTTATTGTCTGCCCACGGAGGATGTCTTCTTCAGAGGAATTATTAATGTCCTTTTGAAGCGTTTTTCACATGATAGGATCCCTTGTGTATAAATAATTATAATTTTATTAATCCTGTTTATGTCAAATGTAGATGTCTTATTACATATTGAAATATTTAATATTTTTAATGTTTTCAAATAGGCTAAATATCTACTCTTTTAAAAAGCAAGCTTGCATCTAAAAGTGAGACTCATCAATGACCATGGGTTAAAGACTTCTTTACATGTATTAGCAATTCAGAGAATAGAGCTATAGCGAGCTTAAATGGATGTTTAACCAATTCTAGTCTCATTTATTTATCTTTATTGTTTTTCTGCTAGTCGAGTTGAATTAAAAAGACTATGTGAGATCTTCACTCGAATGTTTGCTGACCCTCATAGCAAGGTGAGTCTAGAGAACAGCCTGAGAGCTCTTACATTGATCCTTACCTGCATGTTCATGGCACCTGAATTACTAGAAGTACCTGAGATTGCAAAACCCACTGTGTGGGATAGCATTGAGTTTATAGATGTGAAATTGATGTTATTGACAACATTTATTTTCCCATCTTAAAAAATCTGGCATTTTTAGTAGCTTCACTCTTTTAAGTGCTGTAAAGTATATTCTTAAGGGTATATGTGGTAGTGAAATGATAATTTTTTAGCTTAGAGTAAAACAATGTAAAATTTATAGGGTAAAGAGTATATAAACAATTACAGTAGTAAGAATTAACTTTATTATCTTTAACCACGGTAAAGCATTTATATATACCACATTTGTCTGAATATAGACTTAAGTGTTATTAAAATTTAGATTGTGTAAAGTTTGAGGGCATCTTATATAGCTAATATGTTTGCTTCATTATCCATTGTATTGGTTCAAATATCGTCTGTAAAATGCAGTTTTTGTGGAAAGGAAAAAACATTTTATGCATCTGAAGTTCATGACTGGACTCATAAAATCTTTTTGTCCTTTCAAAAAATATCATTTAAGGGTATACCCAATATTTGAACCAATGATGTGTGTGTATATATATATATGTGTGTGTGTGTGTGTGTATGTGTGTGTGTGTGTGTGTGTGTATATATATATATATATATATATATGTATGTTAATAAGAGAATATATAAAATTGAAGCTTGTGATTTTAGACTTATTAAAGCACTAAGCAAAGTGGAGTCCCCCAAAATTAGTTGTATCATATATGTCAATTTACCTATCCAAAGGCTACAGCTAGTAGGAACTAAAAAAAGTCATAAATTATAGCGGCATGGAGCCTGAGGCTAGAACAAATAGCATAAAGCTGAGATTAAATGCCAACTAAGTGTTTAGTGGGTCCATGCCAAGAATGAAACCACTTCCCATCCCATGTATGATGAGGATAATTCTGGACTCAGAAGGTGAAAGAGGATCCTTTCTACAAAATTTATTTGGCGTCCCTAATTTAAATTTATGCCATTGGATTGAAGAGAAAGAATCAGGAAACAGAAGGTTGTTATTGGAGAGAGACATAATAATGATGATAATAGTAATAGTAGCTAATATTTTCATATAACACTTATTATGTGTCAGGCACTGGTGCGGGTTGAACAAAAAGATCATTTTTACAGAAAATTCAAAAGATGAATTTTATTTAGGTGTCCAATGGATTAATTTCCTGATGTGAAAGATAGATTTTAGAAATGTAAGGCAAACCTTATCCAAAAGTATATTCTGTTCTTGAGCTAGGGATCTTCTCTAATCTGGGGACCTTAAGATTAAGATATGCAGCATCTTAGATGTGTAGTAACAATTAGGAATATTTAAATCTTCTGGATTGTCTACCTTATATGAGAGTAAAATGGGGCCTCAATTCCCATATAACCACTAAACCCTGGCTTTTCCTGGGTTCATATGCAACTTTAGTTGTTCCACAACCCTTCATTAGAAGTGTTTTTGTATAGCTTTGGCCTCTTCCTAACAATTATTTAATACATTTGTTACTTATCTCATTGGGTATATCCCTGATTATTCAAGCTAAATGCAAATGCTGTGTTCTTTAGGTTAATGTGAAGCCAACTTGTTGGCTTGTTATCATGTTTGGTGCCACTAGACTTTATTCTTAAATATTGGACCACACTTGAAAAAACCTGCGCAGAACAGAACTAGAAAGCTTGGCTACTTCACTATTGACAGCCCAACCAGCATTGCTCTTATTTTCCCTTAGCGGGCATAACCAGAGCTCTTCCTGTAGGGAACCATCTTGATTGTTAAAGAGCTCTAGACTGTTTAGATGAGAGAAATTCTCTATTAACCATAATTTAGCTCTACTCAAATCCGACCAGCTTGAGAGTTAAGTTAGCCTATAATAGGTGAATCATGAAATCTTGAGTCACTGAGACTCTTGTGATAATGGAGGCTAATGAAGGATTTCAGATAAAGTATAACCATTTTAGAAGAACATTATCAGTAATATCTTTAAGAGCCCTTATTGAAACAATAAGATACAACATAGAAAATAGAGGGAGTTTATAGATAGTTCTGGAGATTGATGAAATTTCTATCACCTATTCGCCTCTAGATTGCTGATTCAGAACCAGAATGTGATGCTAATGAAAGAAATTTGTTCCCATCAGATGGCTCTTGTACAGTGAGTTTGTTGGGGGGAAGATTCTCAGTTTAGTTACTATATGTTAGGTGTTTTTGTGGGATGAGAAGCCACCCCAATGGCTGGGACTCAGTTCTTTCCCTGTAAATGGTTTTGTAAGAAATCTCCAGGATTGAACAGATGTCATTATAAAATTGAACGTACATATATAATTAATTGGTAAGGTGCTTCCTGTAGAGCAAGTTGCGTTAGCAGGATATGAAAACAAATTGCTGCATTTCTCCCTATAATTGGTTCAATGAAATTCCAGTTTGGCCCCTTCTTTCACATTAGGTATTGCTAACAATTACATTGTCATATAATGAGAGAATGAAGTTAGGAATTTTATAACAAGTAGAGTAAGTCTTGATCAGGGAATAGCAGATGAGAAAATAGGATAAATTAAATATTTAGAAGTTCTGTGTTAAAAGCTGCCTAAAAATGTCAGCAAATACACAAGAGTAGATTTCCCCTTGCCTAATTTATTAAATCCTAAATTGTTAGTGCACTCACTGAATACTAAAGTAAAATGAGAAACAGAATAGGATTATGAAAAGAGACCTGGAAATCTTCAACACTAGCCCCCTGCCTTCTAGCAAGATTTATTTTCTCAGTGTTCCATATTTTAAAGTCCTGTGTTGAGGTATGAAAATTTTTATTGTAACACTGCAGACATTGCCAGCATACTTTTGTTTTTTGAAAAACTCTGCATCATGGTACTATTAATTCACAATGTGGACTAACAAATGGTTTGTTTTGTTGCATGGCCTGCTGTGCGGTGGAATTCACAAAAGAGAGTAAGTCCTTCCCCTTTTTTTCCTCTATTTTTCTGTGACTGTGTAATGTTCATGTTTATTGGGGCTGTTAACCTAGTTGATTCTATTTTGACAAAACCACCTTAGAAGTTTTTCTATTTGTTGTCTACTCTTTCTCAGTATTTTAATTCTAAATGACCTTTTGGTGAGCTGGAATTGGCATTAAGAACAAGAAATGATAAATTTTCAACTATGTATCCTTTGTAGGTTTTCAGTATGTTCCTAGAGACTCTAGTGGACTTTATAATAATCCATAAAGATGATTTGCAAGACTGGCTTTTTGTTCTTCTGACACAATTACTTAAGAAAATGGGAGCAGATTTACTTGGATCTGTACAAGCAAAGGTGCAGAAGGCTCTAGATGTAACAAGGTAAAAGTGTGGAGGCTGGAACTGTCTTTTTTTTCTTTTTGTATCCCCAGTAGTTAGCATAATGCTTGGCACATAGTAGGTACCTAATAAATGTTTATTGACTGGTTGATGAGCATCCTGTGATTATTTCACAGTTCCTTTTTCAGCTCTTCATTGTAGTTCGTGTCCCTCATCTTCTTTTGTCTGTCCTTCATTCAGATCTTAACTTATTCCATCTACATAACTACATTTGATTTCCTTCCCATATATCAAACCATGCAAACTTTTAATTTTCTAGCTATTGTTGTTTTTAGTGGTGTATATTTATCTTTGTGAATGTGCGTAGAAGACGTAAGTGCTATTTGCTGCAAGGGTAAGAGTCCAGGAAAGAAAAGGAAAGTAATGAGTTGAGTATCAGAAAAATTCCATTCAGGTTTTTTGTCTTCTGTTCCTCAAACCCAAGGCAAGTAAATAAATGATTAGAATCAGATCCCATACTCTGCCAAATTACTGTGCTCTCTATTGCATGATTTATGGGCTGTGGGGAGTACACTGATCAGTCTAGTAGATTATTAACACTGTGCTACAGGTCAGAAAAGAAGAATTAAATATAATCAACTTGGCTTCTTGGGGGAGTTATTGCTTATTTAAGTTATATGTATGTAACTTTGTAGACTTTACCAGGTTGCCCCACAGTTTTTTTTCTTAAACATTCATACCCTAGTTCTGCTTTGATTTCTTTCCCAAATGTGTAAATGGGGGTGAAATTCTCAAACCATGTTATCATTTTTGTTCTTTGTTCTTATTGGGATGAGTAAGTATCTTTAACCGTTGCTTCCTAAACTTCACATTTACTTATGATTACCTGTTTTAGCCTTTTTCTCATAACAGCCTTGTAATGTAGGTGGTGTGGGTATTTTTATCCCTATTTTATAGTTGAGAAAGCTGAAGTTCAGAGGAATAAAGCATGACATGATCGCACAGGAAGTGGCCGAGTTGGATCTTGAACCTAGTTCTCCCAACTCCTAAATCTGTTGTGCTTTCTTCTGTGCCTTGCTCCTTTTGGGGGCCTAATCAGAAATATATTTAAAATTCTGCTTGTACAAACAAATTATCTTCCAGAATTTGCTGCTTGCTGCAGGTGTTTAATTCAGCTGTCAGCAAGGTGGGGCTAGAGGGAGATAAGGAGAATGCAGGACTAAAAATACCACCATATACTATGGGGAGAATCTTCGTGCATTTGTTGCACCTCTGAATGGCTCACTGGTCAACCTGGAAAAAATGATGCCATATTCAGCATTGATTAGGGTTTTATGTTTTCCGTGCTTGTAGAATCATTACTGAATATTTGATTTTCTCTTTTGCAAAATTGGGGGAGATAGTTTCTGAGGCAAGGGTTGCAAAGAGAATCCAAGAAATCTTTTATTTAGTCTCAGTTTTCTTAGCATTTTATTAGCATCAAAGTGGTGATACATCTTATATAAGGAAACCTCATCAAATATTAGAGGTGAAGGTTATCTTAGAGATCTTGAAGTACCTATGAGGAAACCAAGGCTACAAGAAGTGTGACATATGTGAATGAATCAAGGTCACTTAACTATTTCGTGGCAGACCCTGGGCACTCAAACCCCAGTCCCCCAGTGTTCTTTCCACCAGTGACAGTCTCACATTGTGACAACCTAATTTCTTTTCATCCTTAAATGTGTAAGCAAGTTTGTAAAATCAACAGAAAAGAAGTATAGTGTCGGTGAGACAATGACAAATACTATTAATAGAAGTAATACAAGTAATTTTAATTATGCTATGATAAGAAAATGGTAATACAGTGATATATGTAAAGTACTTAGCACTGTTCCTGGCACACAGAAGGCACTTAATAAATGCTTTTTCTCTCCCATATACATATCCCCCACCATGGTGCTTGATACTTTAGAACTATGAGTGTTTTCTAAGTTATAGTTTTATTCTTTTTTCCATCTCTTGTCCACCAAAGCTCAAAAAATGTGTTTCTCTTCAATTGAAAATAAAACATCATGGTATTGTAAAAAGAAAAACCAAAAAATTATTGCACTTGAGTGAGAAGACTTCAGTACGAATGAAAACTCTTCTACTTAAGTCACTTAACTCTTCTGAGCCACATTTTCCTCTAAGACAAAATGAAGGGGTTAGATTAAATGATCAGATTTTACTCTAGTCACAATGTTGTCCTGCCTGCTTCCAAGGGTTGTTCTATGGATATTAATGTGTGTTAAAGTGCCTTGTTACGATAAAGCAAAATAACTTGGAATCATAGGAGCTGACAAGATTAACAAGAAGAATATAGTTTGAGTATATTCAAGACACATTTTTAATCTTTTGCTCTTGGTTGATACTGTATGCTACTTTCAGAAATAGAATCCAGAGCTTGATATACCACTGATTTGACTTAAAACAGTTACCAATTTTCTTATTCTGTGTTATCTTCTGTAAAATTGATTGGCAGTATAGATCCATAGCTATTTTATAACTTCTGTGAATGTGAGTTATAGAATTGTTAGCAAATTAATTGTGACCATATAGGTACGTTATGACGTGGTGAGATTAAATTCTGTTTGTGACTTGTAAAAACTGATTTCCTTGCTTCCTTATAGCTGATATACATACTACGAGTAGATTGCAGTATCTTCCACTTCTTGCTTTGGGTCATCAGTGGAGAAACTAAGGATTAATTTGACCAGTGGTGATTATACCACCTTTTTCTTTTAGGGATGGTCGTCGGAGCTTTGAAAAGAGATGAGGAAAAGGATTGTCTTATTTGTAGGAGGCGTTTACTTCATCTGCTTTGGAGAGGGCATTAGTTTCTGAGTGCATTTTTAACATTCAATTATTTAGCATCAGTTAATGAATAAAAGTCCCCATTTTTAATGTCTTGCCTTTGGGGTTGGATTGGAGGTCCTATCCCTGTCATACAAATGAAAAAAAGTTGCTTTACTCCTTCAAATCCCTGTGATTTCTTCAATGTTGATATTCTATCCATTAATGCCAGTCACATCCCCATTAACTATATTAGGGTCTAGTCTACTGTGACCAAACTTACCATCTTGCAGCAAACCTACTATTGATTGGCCTCTTTGAACCTGGCCAAAGTGGTCAAGGCAGTTGGAGTCCTCCTGACTTCAGGGCCAGTGCTCTATCCACTGAGCCATCTAGCTGCCCCATTTTAAAAAATAGATTTTCTTTTTTTTTAATTTTTATTTTTTTATTTTTAGACAATTGGGGTTAAGTGACTTGCCCAGGGTCACACAGCTAGTAAGTGTCAAGTGTTTGATCTGAGTCTGGATTTGAACTCAGGTCCTCCTGACTTCAGGGCCTATGCTGTATCCACTGTGCCACTTAGCTGCCCCTCACTTCTAAGTTTTGCCCAAATGATGCATAGACATTCTTGAAATAATTTGTGTTGCGCAGATTTTGTTTGCCCTATGTCTGTTTAGATAGTGTTGTACTGTATGAACCTATTTCATGACAGGACATTCTTATTCTTTATTTTGTGTATCTCTAGGGATTCTTTTCCATTTGATCAGCAGTTTAACATTTTGATGAGATTCATTGTGGATCAGACACAAACACCAAACCTTAAGGTCAGTTACTCTGTTTGTTATAAAATACATAAGTATTTGGCCTTTATACCTAACTTCTATACAAGAACTATATATGTTTGTATGCTAATAAATTTATTATGCCGTATATGGGGTAAAATATACCAATAATAATAACATCAATAAAATTAAACGACTTTATGTTTAGAAATAAAGAAGGACCTTTTCATCATTACTTATTTGACCAGTTCTTTTTAAATCTCCCTAGATATTGTCACTGTATGAAATATTACAAGCAAAAAATCTTACTATGAGTTCCCGATTGTACACTTAGGGTTTTCAACAATTCAATTTTGCAGGTCAAGGTTGCAATTCTGAAATACATTGAGTCTTTGGCCAGGCAGATGGATCCAACAGACTTTGTAAACTCTAGTGAGACAAGACTTGCTGTTTCAAGAATTATAACCTGGACAACAGAACCAAAGAGTTCAGATGTGAGAAAGGTATGTTCAAAAAATCGCTAAAGTCTGTATATGGAAATGTCAGACTCTCCGTAGGTGTGTGTTAAAAAGTGATCAGTCAGTGAATGGCCGCTACTGTTTTCTAAAAATCTCTCAAAGCCCAAAATACTGGTTGAACTTCATCCTTGTTCAGCAGCTGTCTATTAATCTCTCAAATATCTACTTCCAGTTTTTCCGCTTAAGATTGTTCATTGTTAACCAAGATAAGAAAGAAATCAAACAATTGTTTTCTAACACACAGAATTTGTGCGTGTGTTTGTGTGTGTCTGTATTCCTTTTTATTTCAGTTTTGTGTCATATATTTTTAAAAGTAGTATTTTAGTAATCTGGTCTCAGGTATCTGATAATAAAACATATTGGTTAGTTTTATAGTGGAATATTGAAATGACCCAAAGAAGGAAAATTTCTGATTATTTACCATGCTTAAAACACACCAAATCTTTAATTGGGTGGAGTGAGGGAGGGAAAGTTAACCTTAATATTATGATAATGTTTTAACTTTGTAGCTGAGTACTTTAGTCACTGTGGTTACAAATTAGATTTGTTTGTTTGCCTTGTGGGGTTATTTTGTAGGTCAAGAGAAACAGTTTTACAATTAAGTGGAAATTTTTCCTCTCAACACTCTTTAAGCCTGGTGTTTTCATATATAACATGAATGAAGTCTTTTGCATTGTATCAAAGTGAGCTTCCTATGGCCAAGATCAGTTAAACTTCGCTGCTTTGCAAGCTTAATGTTGATAGAATTGGCTTAGAGGTTTTTGATCATAACAAGAATTCTCTGTATTAATCCTTTTGCATATACAGTTGATATCACATCCAGGTAACTTTGTTTTCAAATGAATATGCCGGAAAAAGAGAAAACTTGTTAAATTGTGGCTTGTGAATGCATACCTGAACAAATGTGTCATTTCAGGAACCAGGTTTGTGAAGGGCTCCAAAATAGCACAATACATTACAAATTGAAAGCTTTCATTTCCATTTAAAGAGCATTGGTTTGGTTTGGTTTGGTTTGGGAGCTTGGGATATTGTGGTATTGAGACTTGTTAGAAGTTAATAGGTGTTTCACACGTTCCTAGGTGGAAGAATTGAGGAATAAATGATAGTGCCAGAATTTAAGGAATTCAGTGTCCTACAAAACCTTCATAGAATCCAGGCTGTAGCATTAAACTCAAAGAGCACAGCACATCAAAGACTGAATTGCCATTTTACTTAAGACCAGGGCTAACTCAAGGCAAAGCAGCTGAAGGTGCTCCCATGCCCTTTATGTTTGCCCCAATTTTGCATATTCCCATTTACCTGTGTGTGTAGGCCTCTAGTAGTGCTTTGGGTGTATGAGAATTCTGCACAAGACTTTTCTACTCCTTGTTTATGGGGTGTAGATTTTAAATGTTTCTTTCCTTATCTAGGTATGGCTTATATTTACATATAGGTTATTCATATTTGAAGATAACATGATAGTCTAGGCTTGGTGTGGCATAAATCAAAGTTGCCTAACTCTTTAGCTCTTTAATGAAAAGTTTCTTCACGACTCATTTTTTAATCTGAATGTGTTTCCCAACCAAACTCAGAATTATGAATTGAATTAGACAAAGGGACTATGTGACATCCATAATGTAATTGATATTTTCCAATGCCCTGACTCATTTAATATTATTAAAAATTTATTAATAGTCATAGCAAACATTTATGTAGCTCTTTACAGTTCACAAAACATTTGACATAGATTTTTCACATTTGACCCTTGAAACAACCTTATGTTGTACAGTATTTCAGATGAGGAAGTTAAAAGCTTAAATGACTTAACTAATAAGTTTCAGAGGAAGGAGTCAAACTGAGTTTTTTCCTGCATATCCCATGTTTTATGAATATAAAATTATGGCTGAATTTTTAAAAAATGTTCTTAAATTAGTGTCATACTGATAGAGACATAATATAATTCATTATGTGGAAACTTTCAGTTTTTAAATTTACTCTGAGCATAGCTGATAGATTTGTTTGGATTCCTAAAGCTTCTGTGGTGATTAAAAATTATCAAGATAGGAAATTTGAAACTGGTAATTGGAGAATAATAAATCAGAATAATTGGGCTTTAATCACAGTACTACCACTAATCTACTGTTTGACCACAGAGGAGTTTTTAACCTCTTTGCACATTTCCTTATCTGTAAAAAGGGTGTGATAACAATTTCATATGTGTATATACATATACAGTGCTCTATGTGTATTATCTAATTTCATCTTTAAAATAAAATAATTTTATAATTATATATATAATGAATATATTATATATATAATAATAAAATAAATAAAATAAAATAAAATAATTCTGACCTAGAGAGTACAAGTAGTATTATTCCCATTTTACAGATGAGAGAACTGAAGTTCAAAAAACTTATGTGGCATGCCCAAGGTCAGCCATATGGGAGACTGAGACTTCTGCACAGTTCTCCTGACTCTGGCGTCCAAAGTCCAGTGGCTTTCCTAATGCGTTTTAATTTCCTTAGGGATAATACCACCTATCCAGTATATTTAGGGAGTTGTGGTAAAGATCATTTGAAATAATAGAAACAAAAATGCTTTGGGAAACCAAAAGTACTTTACTTTATAATTGTAGTGTTAGTGGGATGGGTGGTGGTAATTCTTCCTAGAATTGAAATGGAGAATGATCTCTACAATATGCCCTGATATCACAGTCTCCAGGAAGTGATAGTTCTTGATGCTCAGAAAATGAAGCTAGTGGATCAGAATTGAATGTGCAGTGTCTTTATCACCATGGATGGAAGTGACACTTTAAAAGAAAGTCTTTGTAGTTACATAAATGTACAGATGCTATTTGGACTGGACAGGGAAATGTGATCCTAGTTCTGAGATCAAAGAGTTAACACAGACAGCTTTTTTGGAAAGGTCACAGTTGGTTTAATATTTTCATGGTGTTTTCTTTTTTTCTCCTGTGCAGCAATTAATTAAATTGTCATGGGCAAGAACAAGTGCATACTTTGTTCTGAGTACATCGAGAACGAGAATATTGTTGTGGTTGCAATACTGACCCATGAATCTGTTGCTAAAACCTAATGCTGTACCCTAAGAGCATTTTGTTTACCACCAGCAGCTGAAAAACCAGAACCAGGGTATTTTATTTGATTCCTTTAGTTAGTGACTTGTGCTGTATTAAGAAAATTGTAATTAAGGTAAATTTAAGTTTCTTCTAAAGGCTGTCAAGAATAGTTATATTTTCAAAAGATAAATGAGCCAAAGTATAATTCAGTTACCAGTGTTTGGGGTGTAGTCATGCTTGTGTGTATGGACATAAACTATCTAATATGGAAATGTACTTTCAGTGTTAGCTGCACTGGTAGAGTAAATAGATATCAAACTACACACACACACACACACACACACACACACACACACACACACACGCACACGTATACTCACACAGACAGAGCTTCTCTCCCTATTTAAAAGTACTGACTATAGGCATTGTGTATGATAGATTCTGGGGATGAAATGACAAAAAAAAATACCTGAACCCCTGTAGTTAACATTCTATTAGGGAATGCAACCCCTACACGTAAAAATACACATAAAAGTACTCATAAAAATAAATACTGCTGATAGAGTAAGCCAGTTTTTAAAAAAATAAATTAATTTATTTTAAACATAAATACTCTCAATAAGAAAAGAAACATAAACTTAAATATTAAAATTTGTGGGGTTTTTTTGGGGGGGGGCTTGGCAATAGGATTAAGTGACTTGCCCACAGTCACACAGCTAGTAAGAGTCATGTGTCTGAGGCTGAATTTGAACTCAGGTCCTCCTGACTCCAGGGCCAGTGCTGTATCCATTGCACCACCTGGCTGCCCCTAAAACTTAAGTACAAAATAACAAAAGAAGGAAAAAAAGCATTGCCATGTGCACAACAGAAATTAAGAGAGGATTCAAAGTATGAAGTAATAAATTTCCATTTCAAGAAAGCCTTTATAATAAATACTTCTCAGGGGCAGCTAGGTGGTGCACTGCATAGAGCACCTGAGTTCAAAACCGGCCTCAGACACATGATACTCACTAGCTGTGTGCCCCTGGACAAGTCATTTAACCCCAGTTGCCTCAGGGGGAAAAAAAAAAGAAATGAATACTTCTCCTTGTGTTCCGACCTGTCTATCTTTTCTTTGCTTCCTGGTAAGTTTTCTTTTGTTCTCTGCTGTGCACCTATTACTTTGTTCTTTTTCCCCCCATCTGCCCTAAGAAGATACAATTAAGCGTGGATGTGTTATTTATACATACATACATACATACATACCTATACACATACACACATACAGACGTATATGTATATACACAAGCACACACATATATATCCGAAGATCTATACATGTATGTAGCATGTACGCATACATACACTTACATACATATAGTTAGATAACTATAGTCATATTCATATATAGACATATACATTCATATGCATCTATGCAAGGCCATACTTTATTTATTTGTCCTCTGTTTCTCCTTTTGTAAGTCTGAGTTTTTCCATGTTTTTCTAAGTCTACCAACTCATCATTTCCTATGCGACAGCAATATTCCATCCTTATACTGTCTAGTGTTTTTAAATGGTCTAAAATAATATTGATTAATATGGCTGAAATATAGCATAGTTTCCCTATTTTTTTCTTATGATTAAATCTATTTTAGCTTTAACTTTGAGATCATGATTACCATCCCTACTTTTTTTCCCTAAGGAATTCTACTCCTGATCTTTATTTTATATTTGTGTGTGTCTCTTATTTTCTATCCCTCCTGACTCTTCTACTTTACTTCTACTTGCTACTTTGCCCTCTTTTACTTAACCTACCCCACTTCCAAGGCTCCCTCCCTTATTTTCCCATTCCTGTTAATCTGAATACCCTTCTGTTACCCCACCTTATCCTAATCCCTCATTCTTCCCTCTAGAAATTTCTCCTTTATCCTTTCCTCCCTCCTTATCC